CGAGCGTACACTTTAAAAGTGAGTGTAAAAAGTTACAGGAACTGACTACATGAATAAACAATAACATCTTCAGACAACAATTAAATCAGCTGATTAGTTTGTTAACAAGTACGTTGATTTTCACCACAGCTGTTATAAAAAGTTTCTGTGTTTTGTGTGAATTGTTAAGACAGTAAAAAGGTGTACAATTTAAGCCATCCTAATGAAAGATGATTGAAAAAGACCCTTTTGAAGTTTTGTAATATTTTATTATTTTTTTAAATAATCTAAAATTGCTTAAAAAAACTTGCAAAGTGGACGGATACCGTTGCATTGTTGTGGCAGACTTGCCTCGCCATGCACTACATCTAACCTTCAGCGGTCACGTCAAGCTGCCATATCTCAGTTAATATTCGTCCAATATAACAACACAATAAAACACAAGGTGTCAATCGATTTTTAATTAAAATCATTGTAAGTTTTTTTGTAAAATCAACGCTTTTTGAGTTAAGAAACAAATGTTTAAATATAGCCGCCATTTTGTTTTATGAACTTTACGTGATTTAAACGTTGAACGTAATTTAAATTGAATCACGTAATTTAAACGAGGGGTCTGAAACCTGGTCTAATTTTCTTACGTCTACCTTTTTGTTACAGCGCTTTATTAATTGATAAGTCTAATAATTAATTGATGGCATCTGTGTCCAAGATCGGCTCTGTTTGGGATCGAATCAGTAACCTTCAGATTTGAAGGTTATAATTATAACTACAAACTCTTTTTTTTCTAAACTACCCAAACAAAATACGAATATGTTACGTTTTTGTATATACAAATTTGTATACTGTAAACGTAATTTTCGAATGAATTATTCGTGTTTTTGTGGAAATAAATTTGAAGGTGATGATTTATCAACAGACATACGAATTAGGTATAGACTATATATTCACTATGAACATAGTCAATTCTTTCAACATAGACAAAAGAGTTAAAGCAGCGCAACCTATTGGCATTGCGGTAAACGATAATCTACTTTACCGTCTCGACTCGAACATAATGACGGGTTTGTTATGAAAGGAAACATAAATATTTATTTAATTCTATTATAATACATGCTGTTTATACATTTTATGCATAATAACAGCATACATTTTTGAGCCATGCTCCATATTTAATTATCATTTAACTTGTTGGATTTTCACTAAAATATTCCCTTAAAATTATCGGATACATTTTCTATTGAAATAACAATATTAATTAGGTCTGGTGTTACAGGGAAGGCTAATTAATATGTTACACTGTTTAATTAAATGTTACACTGTTTACCTTCCCCGTAGCAGCAAACCTAAGCACTCGTTAAATCTAAGGCTATTTAAATTGGGAATAAATATGTCTTATTTATGGAAATATTTTGGTAAATATGTAATCAGACAAGTTAAAATTCGCTTAGTCTGCAGGTTTGCTGCAGCGGGGGTATTTATTTATTATAATATTAACTGCTAAGTATGAAATAAAAAAAATGCCGAATTCGATCAAAATTATCCTTTACCATGTAAACTAAAGTAATATATTTATTCTACATAAGGATAACTATAGAATTTAAGATTTTATACAACATACCCTTTTGTCTGTGTTAATTAATAAGTATGTATCAAATTTCATCAAAATCTGATGGTTTTTACTAGAGTTATTGTACTTACGGACACAAATACATATGAGCCTATTTGTATCTAAATATGAACGGTCGGTGTTTTGGCCTCCTTTCTGGGGACATCGAAATGAAAAAGTAAATCGATCCCGGGTCTAGGTCTTACCATGAGGCATATTTCCTTCCTTTTCATTGATCGTTATAGCATAATAAAGAAACAATATTAGTTTTATTTTTTTACCAGTTTTCAAACAGTTAATAATAAGGTTTAATTGCTAGTTAAGACTGCAATCAATAGTAACTAAAACCTGTTTATAATTTTCATATTACCAATTATTTCAGATTGCCTTATTTGCGAATTTCCCTATAGGGAAGTAGCTATTACCGTAGGTCTCATGGTAAGACCTAAGCCCGGGACCGATTTACTTTTTCATTTTGATGTCCCCAGAGGCCAAAAACACCATTCGTTCACATTTTTATATATATATATAAATATATATATATGTGTCCATCCGCACGATAACTTGAGTAATTTTTGTCCGATTTTGATAAAATTTGGTTTGAAGGTGTAAGGCGGGACAAACTTGAATGAGTTCGCGAACCAGCATGATCGGACTATGGGAACGGGGGTTTATGGGGGGTTTTATGGAGTAAAAATAGGTTTTTCCCATTTTTGACCCTAAAAACACAAAATTTCACAATTTCTTTTCAAACCATTTTGTAGAGCTTAAAAAAACAAATCATTTAGTATATTGAAGCGTTTTTCTTTTGCGCCTAATTGTTACGGAGAATATTCTAAAAAATTGTAATTTTGAAATTCCCATGTTATTCTTATGGAGAATAAGTCAACTGTTGTAGTTTGCTTGTTTATGAACATATTTTGATCGATTTTGGAAAATACTTTTATTTCTTACTAAACTATTATCATTTTATAAAAAATCTTTTTTACCCTCCCTGTTGCAGCAAACCTAAGTACTTGTTAAACTAACTCTATTTAAATAGGAAATAAATGTGCTATTTTTATGGAGGCATTTTAGTGTAAATCCAATCAGGTTAATGGAAATTCGCTTAGTCTGCAGGTTTGCTGCGGCGGGGGTATTTTTATTTGAGTGGACGCCTGCACTAAATAAACGACAGCATGCAGTACATAATTGTATGGCATATAGTCTGGTTTTTAATGAAGGCGCTAGCACTAAGATGAAGTATTTAGGAGAAGCCCCATTATTCAATATGTATGAATAATTAACCATCATAATCATACAGTATTTATTATCAAGCCCTTCATACTACATGGGTTTATACTTATTTCGGTATTTTATATATTTTGATGGGTGTAAGCCTGTGTCACCACAACCATTTGTTTTGAAATTTATTCGTCTAAACTAAACTACCAGTTAGTTACAGTTAAGTATTTGATAGGGTGCATAAGGTTTAGGTTGAGTATAAGTGATACAAAATAACAACATGTGTTAACATGTTCATTTAAAAAACAAAAGCACACTGTATTAAAATTAATTTTATAAAAACGAAACTTACTTTGTTTTGTGTTAAGTTGAGTATGAACCGTCAAAATGTATTCTGGCAAGTAAGCAATTATTTATTTATTTATTTATTTTTTATTATTATTGTCGATTTATTTTTATAGGAAGCATCTTTACTGTTCTATCCCTTGGAATATTGCATATACAATCAAAAATGGCTACAAACTATAGAATATTGCCTTTTTAGCTCTACTACGAATAAAAAGTATCAGATATGTTATAAAGGATCGTTCAGATAAATTAGTAACCTTGTTATATATAATATTTAAACACAACTATATTACATATATAAAATAGTCGTACTCCAAGTTTAACAAAAATTATAACTGTACTAGACGCCTTCTAATCCTTAAAAACTTACTTTATGTAGTTAAACATCAATTACACACTTTCAAATAAACCACCATACGTGTATTAAGTAAACTCATATTTAAGCTTGAACACATATCATATTTTTTTATCTGGAGTAAAACTTGTTCAAGACTTCTAACCTCTATTACATTGTTTGCCACTTTTAGGTAGGCATTAATATGATCTATAACACGTTATTTTGTAAGAAACCTATTATTTTTTATCAATTAAAGTTTTAGTTTTTTTTTAGTTAATATATTTTTGATTTGCTGCACCATTTTTTACCAAGAGACAAAATATTTTATGGAAATGAATGTAAACTGGGCTACTCAAATTGATAATTGGAACATGATTGCTGTACGTAAATTAAAATCCTTATGGTGTAGGGATACGATAATATATAAAATATTGTGAATTAGTAGTGTTATTTGTATAAAAGTTCTTTTAGCCTCAAACCAACATTCAGATCATGTTAACTCTCATGTCATGCATGATTTTTCTTTGATAATCTTTTCAACTATAATTAAAGTAATTTTTGAAAGGTTAAAGGGTATTGCATTACAATATTCAGTATTATGTTTACATTTTTTGTGTATTCCTATGTAAATATATTAGGATAGTTTAGATAATGACTTGATTTAGTTAGAAAAGTGTTTAATATGAAACTCGCTTACAAATAAAGGCATTTTTATTATTTATTACTTTTATTATTCGTTATGCATTGGAGACAATCAAATGTCGAATCCTATTAAATGCACAATATGCGTACGGGTCTCCTCGTCTGTATTTATTTTCATTAAATGAATTAATTTAGATTAAAACAAAGAAAACGGTAGCTGTTTGACTCATGTTATTGAGTACAACACTAGACAATAGGCAAGATTTGTAACTCTATTGACTGCACAAAAGTCAGAAGTTATGTACAGTATCACCAAGGTAACCTTTTACTATGTTATGTTATGGGGTTGTTTTTTTGTGCTACCTTCTCACCCTATAACCATAGGTTCTAGGCCATAACTTCTAAGGTACAAAGGGGGGCAAAATGTACTGCTGACGTTAAGACTCCAGCCAATTTTAACTCAACAAACCGATTTTTTACAGTAAAGTACTTCTTTTTCTCTCTAGATGATAAGCATTTCTTTGACTCCCTAGAAAGAAAAAGAGCTACTTTACACACCATCAACACATTAATGAAAACAGCTATTTTTCTGCAGTTTGACAATAAAGGATATAACTTCCGATTTACCATTAAATCTACGGCAATATCCAATTCTAATTCAGTTGCGCAATTAGTTTGAATAGGTCAATAAATACAAGCCAATTTACAAAACAGTTTATTTAATGAAACAATTTATACAAAAAATTTACAACTAAAAACAATAACAAGGAGTAGACTTCAAGATATCAACAAAGCAACAGATTTCTTGCATAAAAAGGTTATAATTAAAAAATAAAAAAACTTATTTAAGTATTTACAAGATAAATCTAAACATTACAAATATTAGATACAATGAAAATACTCGTACCTTATATTACCTTGTTAAGTGCAAGGTAAAAATAATTAAATCGAAAAGATTGTTACTCAACGCATAACAAACAGTAGGAACTTAAAGCTGTTTAAAATTAATACATAAATAACGAGATATTTAAATTTTAACCATAATTCATTGCCAACGGTGACAAAAAGTGCATTAAATGTCTCAATCAATTCTCAAATGGGTTTAAAGGAAAACCCCTCGAAGCAAGTTCACTTTCTACGGTACACTTGTCGATCTAGTATTCATCAAGATATGGTTAATCACATAATATATAGGGAAAGGAAGAGGAAGCTGTTTAAACATTCAGGAACACCCTGTAATAACGTAACTTGCTCTACTAGCAACGATTAAATTTCTCCTGTTGCTTATGGAGTTTTACAAAGGATCAGACTAGCAATGCAGCTTTCACTTGCAATTTAAAAAAAAAATTAAGACCTCACGCTATTTCCTAATGTGGTAACATGTATTTTATTTTATTTGTGTAACAAGCTATTATTGTGTTTCGTTTAGAAGCCAGGTTGTGAAACTCTACTGTTCATCATGATTCCAATCGTTAATTTTCTTACAATATCCTTTAGATCATTCACTGGGAAGAATTTGTCTTTCAAGTAAATAAACAACAGCCTATGTATACATAGAAAACTTACTTTGACAGTTTCAAAACTAAGTACTGGCTTCGGTATTCGGGCATTCATGTACTTTTACTTTAGGAACTTATGCACAAAGCATATATTTAGTTTCGAAGATGGAATAAGCAAATCGAAACATCACAATGAACTGTTAAAACTAGGCAACCCTATGACTAAGCACGTTTGACAATCACAAGCTTTTTCGTTCTGTATGGCCTTGGATGGTGTGTGATAGGATGGTGCATGTTCATGTTGGATTCTTTTAGAGTTGAATAAGATTGAGTTGGCTCCTTGAAAGAAGGATCATCGAAGAAGGATTCGAAGTCTGTGTTGGATGAAGAAACTTGTGATCTGAAAGGAGCATGATCCGTGCTGTCTGCAGAGTAAACTCTGTTGAACTTGGGAGAACGGTCAACGTCACCGATGCGAGGATGGGAATTTGGTCTTGTCAGGTGAATTTGCGGGTCTGTAGCTTCTTCCTTTTGGTGTCTCGCCCCATAGTGGGTCTGTACTAGCTTTACAGGGGATTTTAGATAGCTTTGATGACTCTGTTCTGAGTTTGAATTCACGTTGTAGGGAGAACTTTCAAATTCTTCTTTTTGTGGTACGTTTACTCCCGTGGAATCTGGAATCCTTACCATACCTACAGGATGACCGAAGTAGGGTGAGTATCCGTTACTGAGTAAAGGCATTCCTACGGGATACGACAGTCCCGGGTTTTGAGAGTTTACAGGAACTAGAAACGCTTGGACCATTCCAGGAGGAGGCATTTTGCCTGGATTGTACATTGGTTGGAGAACGGGGGTGTTTTGAAATCCAAAATTATTTCCGAAATTCTCGTCATTAACGTTTTGTCCTGTGTTGCTAAACGTTTTGAATGAATAACTTGACTTTGCCCCTCCAGGGTCTGATTTTGTAAAATCAGTTTTAGGCTTTGTAAGTAGGTTTATTGAATTTGGGATTCTTACTGCACTTTGTAAACTTGAATGGTACGGAGATTTCTCGTGTTTCGGTCTTTCGTACTTTCCTTCATTTATAGGATAATTATTTGTATTTAAGATCGTGTGAGTATATTGTGACGATTCCACCTTTGGTGATTTATGATTGGGCTGACCTCTTACATAGGAAGCCTTTGTCTGTTTTGGAAATGTATCAGAATAAGCAGAGTGTGCGTTCTTTTCAAACGATTCGGTAAACGAAGGAACTGGTTGTTTGGAGAAAGATTCAGCAAAAGATGGTTGCACATGTGAGAAAAGTTGGTTTGTCTTTTGTTCCGTAGAGTACTGATTGTTTGCCATCGGGTCTATTGCGTTGCTGAAATCGAAAGAATTGCTTTGTTGAAGAGCGTGGTTATGGTCAAAGTTGTTACGGCCTGAAGTTGACAGGGTGTTGAAGTTTTGATCGAATCCCTCTCTGAAAAAGATTGGTTGGTTGATGACAGATCCTGTGGAATAAACATGGCGATCGTTTCCATCACTGCTGCCAATGTTTTGGTATTCAACTTTGGAGCCTAGGCCTACTTCATGGGACATTTCCACACCTGACCCCATGTTCTTCCAAACAGTGTTCTTTCCGTTCACGTGCACATTTACAGGTACGTTTTGATATGAAACTGGTAAAGCAAGCTGTTTTCCGTGCCTGGTGTTCACTGGGGGTTGCACTATTCCCATTTTGGGATGCTGGGCAAAACCGCTGCCAAACCCGATGCTGTATCCGACATTGAACGAAGTGTCTGAAGAAGGGCTGTGTACGCTGACTCGGTTTGGAACATAAATTGGTCTTTTAGCTATATCGTGGCTATCCTGTTGGCCAGCATTTCCTTGCGGAACATAGTTTGAATGAAAACCATTCATTCCTACATTCTGAGGCTGCTCTTGGTTATTCCAATTTATCTGCTGTTCGTAGTTGTCCGTCTCTTTCTCTTGCGGTACATCAAAAGTCTGTGGTTGTTGCTTTAGAAGATTCTGCATGATTGATGGATGAACAGCGTGGACAAACTGATCTGGTGCTGGAGTAGCGAGAACGTTGGAAGTTTGAGGAGGTGGATCAGCAAGTTTGGGGTTCTTGAAGGACTTGTAGTTCTGTGTTTCTCGGTGGACTTGGCGAACTTTCTGCCGAGGCTTTGTAGGTTTCTTCTGCACGTTCTGATACCTTTGGTGAGCTTGTGTGTCGTGGAGCACCACGGTTCTGTAGCTAGAAGCATCGACATTGCTGTCCTCCTGGGTATCGTCCTGTACTTGGGGGCTGATTCTCGGGTGTTGACGCTGTCTTGGAGTAGAGGCTACCTGGGGTGCGATTTCCTGTGAAACATAAAAATTATAAGTTTTTTGCAAGGAAAATTAATAGGTTGCTGCAGGTTTCTGTAGGGAGTTGAGAACAAAAACACTGACACAAATTTATTATTTTAGTTATCAACGGCCACCCTTTTGAAACGACTTGATCAAACTCGACCATTGATAACTGGGCCGAGATAATGTATTCAAGTACTCGTATACAAAATTTCATTAAAATCGGTTCGGGCATTTGGGTGTTATAACAATTCATGGCAACCCAGCCATTGATGACGTCATTATGGACAACCGAGGTCCTTAAACATCGGGGACTGGGTGGTTTTACGTTCAGGGACTTGTATACTATAACCACCTCAAGTAGCATTCTCCCCGCCAGAACTGAAATATTCTGCCACTTTATACAGCTATACAACCCCACTAATCACAAAGGTGAATGCCGATCGGAATTAATAAAATAAAAACCTTTGTAACAACATTTTTGATTGAAATATTGAATAACTCGGGTATTAATTATCTGAAAATCAATTATGTTTATTATTTATATATTGTAGACCTACTATAACCTACTTTAGACGACAGTTAATTATACTAATATAAAAGGAGTAAACCGCTAACTCTGTCATTATAGTAGCTCATTAACTAGTTTTATAGTTAATTAGGCCTATATGGTTAGTTAAAGTAGTAGTATAACGACCACTGTTAGATACAACTATTACCGGAAACCTCATTGACATCATAGCATAATAAATTATCAAGTACTAGCAGAGAACCCGTTCTTCGTACGGGGTTGGCGTATAAGTATGCAAAATGCTTAATGCAGTTATACTTGGCTTTGCGTTTGCAATGGGAGAGGACACGGTTTAAGAACATTTGGTTCTTTTAATTTACGGTATGCTGTAGTATCTAGCACATCTATCATAGCCTTAATTTTCTACCACTGCACCTAAACAATAGAAAAAAGTAAAGTTCTCATTCTATATCACAGCTTTTTGTTGCTAGTTGGTTCAAATTAGCTGTTGTCATAAATACAAAAATATTAATAGTGCTGCACCCTGTTGGTAAACCTTATAACTTTTTAACGCTATTTAACATCATAGAACCAACTTCTGTAATTTTGAAACAGCTGACAAAATTATTTAATTCCTTTTAAATATGAATACTCATAAGATTTATATGGGGAACTTCAGAGCCACTGGGGCGTAGCCCTAGTGATGTAATGTGAGCTATCACCATACCAAATTTCAGCCCAATCCAACCAGTAGTTAATGCGTGATTGAACTTCAAACAAACAAACAAACACACAAACTTTCACATTTATAATATTAGTAAGATGGGTATAATTTGGACAGATCGTACCTAAATGGAAATCTCTATTATATCATGGTAATTGGAGCAAAAAAAAAAAACTCAAAATAAAATTTTTACCTGAAGAAATTCACAAGTCTGAAATGGGCAGACAGAAGGGAAATTACTAAGCCTAAGACATTGACAAAGTTTTAAAAGAATTATGCATACACACTTTCTGGTTCAATGTACTATAGTCTGTATGATAGGACCTGTCTCTGTACCCTCCATTCCTGGGGCGGCCAGTCTCCAGATAGACCTGGAGGGTCAGGAGACAGGTTCCATCATACAGAGTATATGACTTACTTGCTGCGCTTCCTCGACTTCCTGACTGGGCGTGAACCTCTGGCTCTCCGTGGTCTCCCCGCGAGCCTCCCTTGGACGCTGACTGTACCTCAGACCATACCCTCCTTGAGTGTCTGTGTCTGCGATCACCCCCGTCACCAACACCACATATAACACCACCTGGAACATACCAACCTTACTATAGTCTTTGATAGAAACCAAAATAATATTTCAATATTTGCATCACGGAAGAAAAAAAGTGAGACTCTAAATCCCTCACTACAAAACTTGGCAACCCCACCAATTTAAAATCAAAATCCCGCAAAAGAGTAAAGTTTTCGAGTTTATTCGATTTTTAGTGTTAAATTATACTTTAGTTCTTAAAAATGTACTCGTATATAAGTCACTAGAAAATAGGGGACTACATTCACGTAATATTTTGAACCTGAATACTGTAATGTGTTTCCAAAATTAGGGTTTTCGTTGGTGGTTTGGCGATAATGAGTAGGCCTACCCCTACAATATTTAGCTGATTCAGCTAAATGTAACAGCAAACCCAGACGATAATCAGCTTATTGTAGAAAATTATGAAAAAAGTAATTAGTAGAGAATTAACATTTTTAAGACGTTAAAACAGGCAATCTTCGTATACGCGTTTTGGACCGACAAAAGAAACACGCTGTTCTGAGACTCCCACAGGGAGACTTCTGATTATTAGCTGAGCCCGGACACATCTAAGAATATGTCACACAAACGTCTATACAGAAGGAAAGGTACGCCTCAAGACGTTAAATGATGGTTTACACCTCCTCCACAAAACTGTGATGTTAACCCCTACAAACCTATGGTCTGTATGATGGAACCTGTCTCCTAACCCTTCATCTACCTGAGACTGGTCTGGGCCCTAAACTTAAACCATTGACCAGTCTCGTAGACGGTACGGAATACAGGTTCCATCATACATACTATACACTCCAAATCCACCAGACCGCAATAGGTGAATCGAGCCAGGAATTAATGGAGCACCGCCATTAGAGCTGGTCCGGTAGCTCATCTGCGCACGCGCTTTTAATTGCGCAGGAAAGTGACCTCCATGGGTAGGCGCTAGAGCGCGACTCATGTCTTGAGCCGGAACACTTTCGGTTTCGCGTAAAGCTACTTTCCAGCTCTGGAAACTGATCGGATTGTGAAGGTTATTGCGATTGTTACGAGGGAATGGAAGTGGCCGAAGGCGGAGGCAATCCGCGTATTTTAGGTGAAGGGATCTTCCGAAATATCGTTGTTCTGAATTTGAACATTGAGATTTCATACGTTACAATTCTGAGGAAATTGTACCTTACGTATGTGGTTTCTGGACCGCTTTTATTGGCCCGGGCCCAGTGCGCAAGAGGTTTTAGTATTGTTGGGGCTCAAAGAAAAATTCCTCCACGATGTGGGTGATGGGTTCAATTATCTCCGGGGCCATAGCCATAGCGCATTCCATGCAAACAATGGGACTGTGTAGTTCAAACAAACTTTGAACGATTTGTCACTTTCTAGGAAATAAGCTTTTCCTTGCAGCGTTCACCTTTACTAATTTACTGGCAGTTTTTGATGAAGGTGTAACCACAGGTTTAACACAAAGCCCTTAAAATGATTATGAAATAATAGTCAAAGTAGTGAGTTGGCATCTCTTAGAAGGATTTATGTAAGAGAATTTACAACACAAAATTCGTTCCCTCTACCAAAATGTCCATATAATAGACTATATAGTCGTACCAAAACAACTAATCTCTACTTAAAAATGTATTTTAAATAAACAAGAGACAAGTTGTCCGATTTTTAAGAATGTATTACAAACTGTGCGTTTGTAATCAGAAAAACCTTTTTATAGTTATGTTTAATTCTATAAGCAACGTCTAGTTGTCTCTAAGCAATACGATATTTTTCTTGTATTTACAACTGTTCGTATTTATAGTATACGAATTTACTACGGAAAGATTAAAAGATTTACATCGGTTTTATGAATTTTCGCTGGCTTTTGAGTGGTCTAAACGATTAATATGGTTTTATAAATCATCAATTTTCAGTTCGATTTGTATCAATCTATATATACCTAACATCGATTACCAGTATGTAGTGGGCCTACTCAGGAGTCTTTACAGGACTACGGTTCAACTCTATCCTTGCAAAAAATCATCACAGTTCAATCCCAATGTTGAATATTACAACAAATTATTTAATCACTGAACCGTTTACTACGGTCAGAGCAGCTGCCAATGTCAAGGTCAAGGTCGTAGAAAGCATTGCACGAGGAACTCATAACTTCCAGCATGAAGGATGAAGGAGCAGTTTGAAGGCGTCGCTGATGATCACTGTCCTAGAGCAAGGAGAGCCGCGTAACCAGTGCCAGGAAAAGTCTTCATTCTTCAATATCATCCTTCAGAGGACTTTCGATGTCTGCAACATGAGGTAGAAACCGCACCGGTCGGAGCACTCGGTTAATTAATGTTTTCGGGGAGATGATTTCGTTACTGCAAGTTCGAAAGAGAATCCGGATAACGAAGTAGACTCGTAATTAGTGTATCAAGGTTGGAAAGTGATTGATGAGATTTTGGAGGACAAGACAATTTTGTGGTACAGATTAGATAGTTAAGATATGTACATATAGTATGGGTTTTAGAAGTAATAATGAAAATTAATTGACTAATTAAGGTAAAAACGTACCTTGTCAGACAAATCCGTGACAATGAATCGCTCAATAATAGCTCCGTTATTTTTTAAACGTTCATTTAAAATTAGTTAACTATTCGTGGATTTGAGGGTGAACATATCAGACAAAGTCTAGGTCATGTGTATTTATAAGGTCTACATATATTTTACATTTTGCTCTAATATGTTAAATACTGCTATTACAACTCTCTTAGCATTTCCACCGATTTTATAAACGTGATCCCTAAAAAATAGGGAACAATTTAGAGTAAATTCAAAAATATTTCACTTCAAACTTTCAAAAAGGGAGAAAGCAGTCGATTTCTTTATTCGTTCGTTTTATTGTAACATACAGAAAACGTAGTTATGATTTGTTTGCTTGTCCAGTTTTGGAAGTGATTTCAATTTGGATTACGAATTTGGATTGACTGAAAATGTACTTCTGCAAAAGGCTTATGGTGTTTCTTTGGTAGATTGTTGTCACTTCTTGTGTTATAATAACGCTGCTATCCAATGATCACTCACCTCAATAGGTAATGAAGATATTTTCTATCTTGGTCAAACACAACTGTCTAAACCTCTTTCCACAAATACCTATGGGATTTTACTTCCAGCCTGATGTCTTTACTGGAGTTGAGCCGAGCATTCACATGTTGGGTAATTAGACTTGTTTGCCAAGCTTGCAATTACCTGCAACTGTAGTTCAGCGGTGTGTGGACAGCGTTAAAAGTTAATTACCTACAAGTTAGCTCGCGTGAGTGGGTAATTGGGTGAAAGACCAACGTCCACGGGGAATTAAGTAAAATAAATTAACCTGTAAAGGATTAGTGATTTAATCTTTGTCTAGAGTTGTGTTAGTGCGAAATATCCTTGTCGTTAAGAAAATCTAGTGAAAATATTGCCCTTCAACAAGAAAAATATTGCCCTTGTTTCGACTTTCAGTAAAATAGTAATTATTTTTATTTTTAATAAATAATTTGTTGGGGTTTCAGCAGGAAAAGACTCATCGAGGCACTTAAAACTGAACAATGTGAGAAAAACTGGAATTCAAGCCTTGAAACACCAGATTAAACGTCTTACCTTTTTCGTAATTGGCTTTTTAGTGAGGCTTGAATAGAATTGTGAATTAAGATATTAGAACAAAATAGATGAACGTGAGGAATCCAGTCAAATGAGTAAAATTAAATTATTTTATATCCAAGCATGTCGTTTAAAAAATATTATTTTTTCTAGCACTGTGGTTGCAATAGCAAGAGAGAAAACGTCCGAATATACCAAGAGATTTCGGTACTTTCCAGTAAGTCAAAGTTTGATCCGAGAGAACTAGATTCAACGCATAAACGAGGTCAATTCAAAATGGTCTACGTAAGCTGGACAATAGTTTCCACATAACTCAGAGATAGAAGATAGACCCCATCTTGAACTGGCAAACCCACCTGACAAACGTGCAAAATAAATGTCGGTGACAGTCAATATTGATTTTGAACTATATTACCATTTATTGTACTACTCTAAGATTTCTAATAGAGTTCAAATGTTTTAAATTATATACTATACGTCATTATTAGGTTTATTTTATGACTATTAACACTCTGATAAATTCATATCCGCACCAGAAACCTCTACCACTCTTACACCTATATCTAACTATGTCCCCAAATCAACAGATTTTCAATTCACTCTGTCCCATTCGACATTTATTTTTCCCCTTATAAAAACATCCAAGAAACCAAAAACCTTGAAATTCAACGAAAGTGTAAGTTCTTCCTCTGGTTTTTCGGCGACTCCTATATATCCGTGACCTCCGCGGTCCCTGCCCTTAGGACACCGTGACGGGGAAAGCTCTGACGACCCTCCAGGCGGAAGCTACATCGCGGACCATGCTCTCTCCCTCATGTCTCGCTGATGTCATTATGGTATTGTCTTCACGGTACATGCCTACGGTTAATGCTACGTTGGCCCAATTTACATTTACATAACGCTGCAATGTTTCAACAGTGGAAAAGAAAATGTGGAAAGAGTATTTTAGCGAGTCCGAACGTTATGATATATGTAAGGTGTAAACAAAATATCCGTAAAAGTTAATGAAGTATTTGTCAACAAGAAAACATGGTATAAGAACCGTCTATTTGTTCACAACCATGAATACTCATGTGATAAATTTGGTTACCATACGTGAACTGTCAGAGATTTAACTATACCAAACCATAAGACCATTAACTTGCAAAATTGGGGAGCGAGCTGGTCTAATGGTATAGCGCGGGATTTTAGTCCATGAGTTCCCGGGTTCAAACACCGCCAATCACCTGGATGGATTGTGTCTAAATGATAATGCCGCGACCCCCTTGGCTTAACCTGAAATAACTCTTATGTAGTAGTTACTTACATATGTAGTGAAGTCCAAAATCGTCTAGTCTAGAACGCTTTAACTAGTTGCCTTATTGATGGTTAATTGTGATTGACTAAATTGTTCAACTATCTTGCACGGATTTCAAACATTAAGGGTTTCTTCAATGCGACATCATGCCATTAGAAGGAAACCAAATTACAATTTCTCCCCCAACCATTTCCCTCAGTCATTTTTCATCAAACATTGCTCTAACCTTCAGGAATCGAACCATGTCCTGGGAAAGCAAACGCAGTGTGTGACGGTAAACTGTTTTTAATTCCCAGCGGGGCGAAGCCCACGTCCTCCTGGTAATGGGAGTCCGTGCATGAGGTCCGAGGGCCCAGGCGCGGGAAAGTACTTAGGAAGACGTGTGGATAATGTCTACATAGCTCCCGTGCAGCAATGGCTACTTTCATGCGATTACTTTCGCTCAGTGTTTGAGTATGGCTTAGAAGCGCGGTGCTTCACTTATGAAAAACATTGGAATTAGTAAAGCTGTTTCCTTTCAACGTCGCAACGCATTCATTTCAAACTTTTGGGTTGGTAACTGTCTGAATCCTAGTTTTTAGGCAATTCGTTGAGTTACAAATTTGGATACAATGCTGCGTAGTGTTAGGAACGATTTAAAATGTGATGTTGGATACATAGCTGACGGAAATTATTAATATCATTTTGAGTAAAATATTGGGAATAATGTAGAATTGCATTTGTTTGGCGCAATACCAGGTACTGTGTTGAGTAAAATTATGGGTGAGTTGAGTAAATTGTTGGGTGAAATTTTGTTGCAAGCAATGTTGTTGGAAGCAATGTTGTTGGGAGTAATGTAGTTGGGAGCAATGTTGTTTGTAGCAATGTTGTTGGAAGCAATGTCGTTGGTTGTAATTTTGAGTAAAATGTTGGGTGCAATATACTGTACAATTCTGGGTCTAATGTTACTACAATTCACTTAATAGTACGTACAAAATCGTGTGCTTAGGTGCGAAAGGTACTAAGTTAATTTAAATTGTATTACAAAAGTTGTTAATACCATTCAAACTAAAGATATCACAATCAATAACAATTAACACATTCGATTTAGATTTTTCAAATATTTGTACTACCTTTTTATTTAATTGTTGGACCACTGTTGAAAGCATAAGAACAGTGTCTGAACTGAAGGACTAAAAAATATTTTTCAATAAAAACTTTCAAATATTCAAGCTTTCATAAAAGTTCTGCTGCATGGCTATTACTTCTAAGGAAAATTCGAAGTTTATTTGTTTTTTTTACGGAAAATGCCTAAAGAAGATCTCTCAATAAAAAAAAAAACAACAATAGAAACACATTTTTGGATAAGCAGTTACTAAAAGTAACTGAGAGTAGATTTAACTACTTAACTCCTTAACTCTAAAAGTAACTTCTTATATAAATATATTGACTCCTCTGAACGTATAAAGCCAATGTTCATAACATAGGAACAGGAGCTAGATTGAGGTTTACGATTAATTTCACACCAAATAAATGGATTTACTGCAAACAATCAGTCGTTACGATAGAAAGGCAAGTGAGCGTCGTATGTGATTGTTGAACTTTAAGAACAGATTAACAATTACTTTCAATATGAAAAAAACTAATGTATATCCATCAATATGTGCTTCATGCATTGAAATGTCGTTCGTTCGAAAACCGTGAAACTTTGAGAAATTGTTCTTGCTTAGGAAGGTTTCAGAGATATAAAGTCAATGGTTTCAGTCTTGTTCTCGATTTCAAAATTTCTTAGGAACCTGTTCCTAGGTGTTTTAAGTTGTAGGCCTAAGTTAAGCTTATGAGAGTAGTTTACAAATCAGGTAGGATATTTTTTGTCTGAGGTTAGTTTATTTTTCCTATTGCCATGTCATCATTTCGGGGTTTAACCCCTAACCCTGTTAAGTGCGGGTAGTTTGGTAATCGGGTTACTAATAAACAGATGATTTAGTCAAAAATATATTCTACAAATAAACAGCTGGCAAAACTGTAGGACAGTCTTACGTATTCTGCAACAATGATGAATCTCTGTTTACAGCAAAAAAGTTTATGAACATTGTAAAGAGTCGAAAATGACTTTATAACACATCAAAATATTAAATATATAACTATGGGCACAGAACAAAATTTGTTTCCATGCTTAAATATGCCTTCAGTTTTCTCTTGCGTAGGCTAATAAAAACCTATTATTGAAATATCAGGATTATATTCTCTTGTAAGGAGTATTTTGTAGGTCACAATAGTTATAGTACAAGATTGTGTATATTTTGGATGGAAAACTTTAATTTTTGTTGAACTGGTTATTTTACTAGGCTACTCAAAGATTTTACCATAACCTAAACAATAAGAACTTTTTATTTTGTATTGATCCTGGAAATAGACTTAACACGTGGTAAGTATTGGTACCGAGTTTTGTGATTGGGAGATTAATAATCTTAAAAAAGGAAAATTCCGACGATGAGTAATAGTGAGTGAAGTAGCCAAACCACTATTTAAATAATTACCCCCACCACCCATGATTCTGTGGTTTTTGAACTAGGAATATTAATTAAATCACAAATGGATCAGTAAAAGTATAAATCAATTCAATTGCACGTTTTCAATGCATTCAAAAATAATTAACTCAATTTCCAAAATTTTATCAAGAAATGTTAACATAGTGTTGCTTTTTTGTAGTTTTCACTTAGCTAAAAAACTTTCTAAGTATTTGAAACCTCTATTAATTTAGCCTGAACCAACTTTTTTTTGTCGAAGATTATTTATAATCAATGAGAAGACAAGTGGACTTTGTTACAACCCAAATACAGCACATTCAGCAAGCGAAATACATAATTGTGTTGTTTTTACAGTAAAAAGAATGGGAAACCACTCACAATAATCAATAGGCCTACATCTTTAAGATATGGAGAGAGATAGGATAAATTAACTCCAGTTAATTTTTAAATACCTGCAAACCATAATATTTTAATTATTGTAGTACCATGTCAGTCTTAAAGTATAATTAACTCAAATTCAGTTAAGTTTAATCATTAACTCACTAAAACGATGATCAAAGATTCTAAATTAATTTGTAAAGTAAAACTGTTTTCCTCTAATTTAAAATTATAATTAATTAACAAATCTTTCAAATAGTTTTCAAACTATCCAATACTCAATGAAGTACAATACTTAAATCTATAGTACTAACACTATTATGTTACAGCTAGTAACGTCACACTCACTATAGCTCTGCAGCGGCACATGTTATCCAGAGGGCAACGCACAGCACTGTACAGCGCCGGGCGGAGCCCCTACCTTTATAAACTACGGAGCTTTCCTCGGTTCGACCGTTCTACGGTAGTCTAGCTACTACGGTGTCTTCTGGTAGAACTGTGTAACATATTATCTATATGTATATCTTTATATCGAACCATCTATCAATGTATTTGTAAATCTAACTATTCATCAATCCATCTGTGTTTGATGCCCTGCATGTGTGTTTTGTTGCTAATAAGATTTTTTTTATGACCATATCAGTGTACACAATAAATACGCATGTGTAAAAACTGTATCTAAATTTTTGATCCATACCATAATATTCTAAAAAAACTTTTTTTGTTATTTGCAGTAAAGTAATTTATTTTCATTGCTTAATTTAAAATTTTAAAAAACCAGTAATTTTTCTGTTTTGTTTTTGAAAGCAAAGATTGACACGCCATAGTAAACATAACCCAAAATATAGTGAAGAATAAGTGCATAATTTATTTAGTTTGAAAAATAATATATCAATTTATAAATAAATAAATTAGTTTTTTTTATTATGAAATGTTTCTTGTCAGATATGGCGTAAAAAATATAATGACAAATAACATGTAAAATCATTTGTATAGCCTAACCCGCAGCTATTACTGGAACGAACCCAGAAGTGTCAGCCTACTGGGAAAACCCGGGAACTTAATTGTTTTTGTAGGCTACCGTGAAAAAGTATATTCAATTATGACCGATAAAATCCGCAACAAATGGTTGTTTATTCACTTTTTCGTCTCGACACGTAAATTTTATGATGTTCTTGTGATATACGAAGATGGTTGCGTCGTTTCTGAAGAACTAGGTGAAGATATGGTTTTAATCAATTTGTGGTCGATGGGATTTAACTACACTAACACTGACAATATAGCTGAGTAGAGTAGTTATCTGTTATATTGTCATAATTACAATTAAAAGTTTTTTATCAACACTCCCACAAAAGTTGTATTTATAATACATCTGTTTGCTATTTGAAAATCCACTCCGAGTAGCAGTGCGTCATAATAATAAGTTACTGGACAACAAATTTTAATTGAACGCAAGTTACTTGTAAATCTTCACCTGCAGCTCTGCAAGGGAATTACACCTGATTTATCTTACAAGTAACCTTCAAGGAGAAATTATATATTACGGTACTTTTCTCTCGGAACTATATCCATCAAGCACTATTTGATAATATAAACCTAAGCTTGGATTTGTATATTCTACTACACCATAGTAAGAGAAGGAATTGATTTTAACACTACTATACAGTTTTGTTGCTCTACTCTGCCATTAAATATCAAAACTCAACAGTAGCTGTGGGTATTTGACTATACAGGGTGTTTCAAAATGAAAGACCAGTTTTGACATGTTTATTACTTGAAATCTGCTCTTTAATTTGGAAAAACCCTGTACAACCCTTAGTGTTTATTTTTCAAGATTTTCCGATTGGTACCGCCCTTAAGACAGTTGCACAGCATAAATATTTATTTAAACAAAATATAAGAGCACGGTGCCATAAAACTTCAAGGTATATTATTATAGATTTGAATTCATAACGGTTCTACAACAGTGGTGCTGTTCAGCAATATTAACACGGGTTTTAGCGGTGACAAAGTTGAAGCATACGGCAATTCTTCAAATATATTCACGTAAATAAATATATACGAGTAGATTGTAGTCTTGATTCACAAATATCCATTTTATTAAGCCAAATGGTTTGTTTCTTGGCTTCGTCAATTGATCCTTTTAAAGGCGGTGACACACTATCGACCGTCTCCTCGATCATGACCACGAACCGAGCAGGGAGAAGGGTGATATTGTGTCAGGGGTCCGTACACCGTAGACGGCGAACAATGACATGATATACACACAAGCCAATTCTATGTAATTATCTAAAGCCTCGGAATTCAGAATGGAACCCAAGCCTCAGACAGTTGCTGAGCGAAAGCTCACAGCGAGCGTGGATCATAAAATTCGCGATAGTCCAAGCATGCACGACGTGGCTGTGGATTTGTCAGGGATACGTATAAGGGATCTGCTACATAGAACATTCCCTTGGGCAACGACGGATTTATTTGCCTGATTTCCCTGCTGGAGGAAATTTGTAATCTACGCCCAGCGATGGTAAACGTTTTAAAAGTAATTCTCGATATAAAGGGGGATACGAAGATTAAGAGTTTTAAAATAAGAATCCAGATACTTGTCGTAGAATTGTGTATACCTATTATGTATAATAGAAAGTGGACCAATAGATCTTTGGAAAAATACTTCAGGTCAAAATGCATACACTAAACATGGTCTCACCTAAAACAGCAGTAAAATCTTCCCAAAAAACTGCTCAAAACATTAAAATTAAAATTTAGTGTGTTGTGGTTCTTTTTTAAATACAAACAAAATGATACAGTCATTGATGGGAAAATTACAGTTCTAAAGTTATTGCGACTTTTTACAGATAACACATCACAGTACTCCCACAACTTAGCCATTAAAAGATGTTGTTGAGCTAATTGAAGAAAGTATGTGTAAAATTTGCATTTTAATTTACAAGGCTTCACACTTTGGATTACCTACAACTAGATCGTTTGAAGTAAGTTAACTCCTTAAGGTGTTGAGGTGTCGAGTAAGTGTGCTTGACAATAAAAAGTTATTGAATAATTTGCCCAATAAACAAATATTTTAAACTAGTGAAAAATCCCCCAATAAATGTCATTGTTACTCCGAGGGTTTTGTACTTTGGAAAGGGTTTAAAAATAATATGTTGAATTGCCCTAAATCTTAGTTAACTCCAAAAATTTTTTTTCGCAAAAAATTTAACCTCAAATAAATTAGCGTTTGCTTCATAATCATAGGTTGTATTCAACTTAGAAAAGAATCAACGACAATCATTGTTGAAGTCAACAAAGGCAGTTTGTTGGATATTCGCCTCAACACGCAATCCAGGTTGGCAATTTGAACTGATTCTCGTTCAATTTGGGAAACAATGACACAATGAAAAGTGCGCCTTGCGTGTAATTTACATCACCAAAATAATCCCTAGCATGGAATTTCGTAATTTCTCTAATCCCAGAATATTTTCCAATATTGAGCTATTCTAATCTACCACGCATGGAATGATTTTTTCCGTTAAACTGTTAAGCTAAAAAGTCGGTAATATTAAACACTGCTTAGTTATTGAGTTTCTTAACTGCCTCTGTTCCTGATCTGCCTAACCTTTACTCCTACAGACGTATTATTTGACGTAGTATTCATTAAGTCCGTAGCTCAAATTAGCGTTAAACGTGAGCTATGAGGATTCCGAAACAAAGGATCATACAAACGTCTTAAGACCTTTCTTTACCAAAGTCGTAAGGGAAAATTTTCCCCCACTCTAATCTGTGAGACTATTTTTAGGCTGCATTCTATATATTTTTAGAGTAGATTAATCACAAATTAAATGCTATGACAAAAAGATAGTCGGTTTCAATTTTTCTTACTGGGCCAGGACCCACCAATAATACGAATATTCCCAATAATATATGTTGGCATTGGTTGCAACCGCCATAATCATGTACCAGTATGATAATTTTAATAAAAATTATGTCCATCTACAGGACAGATTTTGAGTTCTTAGCAATAAAGCATATACGAAGCAAAACAACAAAGCAAAATTTTCATGTTTTCTCGCCAGTTTACTACTATCTCCTTATCTCTACTGCACCACTACAATGCGTATTCAGTAGAGTCCTGCGCGTTCTCTGGACATTCCAGTGAAAGGGACAAGCGTTCGTTAATGGGAAAGTGCGAATGTCCGTTGAATGTCATGGGAAAAACTTCGATACTGGTCGGCTTTGGCTACCGTTAGAGTGATTTTATCTATTACGTGACGATAGTTAAAGAAACTGTTGTTAATCACTAATTGAGATGGAAGAATGAGTGTTGATGATATTATTAGCTTTTTAGTGACTAAGATCAGCTGTTTCATTAGACAGGATGATTAATTGTAAGCCAGCTGATCAAAAACAGCTGATAATTTGTTCGTAAGGTTCTTTGACCGTTGCTAACCGGTTATTTGCAACTTTAATGACTAATATACTTGTTCTCGTGTTTTGATACGAAAATCAACAATACTAAACAGTTTTAATCTTCGACAATCGAGCAAAGCTAACACATGTGAATTTCCTGGACAAAACGTAGCGTATTGCACGGAGAGAGTGGAGGGCGTAGTACGCCTTGGACCGTAGCTGAACACGCACACGTATTACTTCCTAGCGTAGTAAACTAGACTTCCACGTTGAATATCCTGGGCGTGTTGAGAGGGTTATGTTTCCTCGACGTGATAGACATAGATAGTTCATTATGACTTGAAATTATGGTGCAGAGTTTGCGCTTAGAGAATGCTATTTTGGAGAATTTATTTGAGTAAGACACACTACTCGGATTTCAAGTAGCCTGAGGCTTGTAGCTGAGACTATAATGCGCTTGTGTAGTAAGAAAAGATAGCATTTCTTTTTGGTTTTATTTCGGACTGGTTTCCTTGATTATTGTAGGTTGATTTATTGAGTAAAAGCCCTCTAATTTTTCAAAATCCATCATTGCCAACCTTCGCCCCAAAATACGTCATTGTGTGTGTTGTGTCGTAAAATTCTAAAAAAAAATTATTCACTGTGAATATTTTTCTAAAACACGATTGAGTAAACTGTGCTACGATAGACTTGAGATCCTTCAGTTGAGCTAATTTGATAAATTTTTTGCATGTTTAGATGTGTATTTTATGTGTGTATTGGATGTCTTTTTAGTGTGAGTAACATATACTGTAGTTACCGTACTTGTTTGTTTTCTATAATAGCAATTTCAAAAAAGGTTTTCATTTTGTAACCCCTAATTTTTGTCTCTAATTGAGTAGGTTCCAAATATAACAATATTTATACAATGCCCTTGGAACGGTTCATATGCAATAGCTTTCGAAATATGCCTTCAAAAATTCGGGATTATACGTTAGATAATCAGAATTAATTATTATATTTCGAGACTTCCAACAAACTTTCCATTCATTTTTAGGTTAAAATACGCCAGTAGCGTCCCTATACTAACACTATAGTGAATACACCGTCTATCAGAAATAACCTTCAGCTCTGTAGAAAACAGGATGTGATGTTTTATTTGTTGTAGCGACAGCCTGAGGCAATCTTTCTCCTGGACTATAATATAGCTTAATTGCTCATATTCAAACTGAATATGACAGGCAAAATACCCGCGCTTTCTTATTAGGTTCCGCATATTTGCCTTTATAGATTACACTTTAGTATTACTCACAGGTTCATTACAGTTTCTAACTGGATCCGGTAAATTCAGGAGTGATTGTTATTGTTATCATTTTGTAGCGGATTTTTATTTGTATTTGAAATAACATAACATGATCCGATAAAAAAATATTAATTTTATGTTTAATTGTACATACAAAACCACCAACGCAAAACAGAATACGTAGTATAATATACCCTCGCCGCGCAAAACTGCAGGATAAGCGAGTTCCATTTGAAAATTTCGATGTGATTTCCCATTTGCTTCATTTGATAATTCGATTTCCACTGAAATCTTTTCTAATTTTCAGCTTTATTCTCCGTTTGAATCACATTAGGTTTAATGATTAACTTGCTTTGTTGCTACAGTATGGTACTACTGTATATTGTATATGGAGAAAGTATTGTTTTTGTCAACATTTGCGAGTTTGAGTTTTTGGTGGATGTATCTGTTTTGGGCCCCCCTAACCCAAAACAATGGTTTTGAAGTGATCTGTGTGGATGTGAACAAAAAGCTACAGACCACACCTGTTGTCCAATTTTGATTAAATTTGGTATGTGGGTATAGGTAATCTACGGTATCTCCAGTGGTTATTTTAATTTTTTTTTTTATGAGATTCGATCATTTTCATTTTTACTTTCTCCCCCTATACCATTTACCACGAAAAAAAGTATTTGTAGAAAGTATTTGTTTTTGTCAAAATTTTCGAGTTTGAGTTTTGAGTGGATATATCCGTTTTGGGTCCCCCTGGACCCAAAGAAGTGGTTTTCGAAGTGATGTCTGTGTATGTGTGTGTGTGTGTGTGTGTGTCAGTGTGTCTGTGTGTCTGGTTGTGTACCGGTTTTGATTTAAAAAAGTATGTTGTAATCCTTATAATTTTGATAGTTTTTCATTTTTTAGAAATTTAGATTTTTATGGGGATTTTCCCATAAAACCCCATAAAATAACGGAAAAATAGGATTTTCCCAAAAATGGCCTGAACTATTTTGATAAAAATTTAGTATGTTATAGAACTTTATATTCTGAACAAAATGGTACAAATCCCATTTCTGTAAAAATTACGGTTCAAAATTTATTGTAAATTATGTTATTTTCCCATAAAAACCCATAAAATAAGGGAAAAATTGGATTTTCCCAGAAATGGCCCGAACGATTTTGATAAAAATTTAGTATGTTATATAGTCCTTTAAATTCTGAAGAAAATTGTACAAATTCCATTTCCGTATATTTACTCTCACCGCTTACACATGATAAAGGTTGTTGACAAACTTATGGGAGAAAGTATGTGTCAGAATGCTGATACCATTTATTTTTTCATAAAATAACAGAAAAACAGAATTCCCACAAAAACTGCCAAAATAATTTCTTAAAGATTCAAATTTAGTACAGAGCAGACAGGGGCGGCTGCAGGAATTATCTTTTGGGCAAGCCTTAATGGGGGGAATTTTAAAATTATACGCAAAATAGTGGGTTTTAATGTTTTCCCTTTATATAATTGTAATTAAATTTCTTTCTTTATTAATAATTTTATAATTTATCTAACTGGCCTAGCCTCTGGAGCTGCCCCTGAACAGAGAATTAATATTATAGGCTAGTCCTTTTAACTCTAAACAAAATGGTACAACCATCGCTGGGAAAAACTACGGTTCAAGCGCTTTTCAAATTGTGGTAATTTTCCCATAAAGTAACAGAAAAATCAAAAAATCTGATTTCTTAAAACAGCTTAATGGATCGTAAATACAATTTAGTATGTTATGGGCCTTATGATTCTAAACAAAATGGTATAACCCCCATTGCTGTAAAAAATATGGTTAAAACATTATTGCTGCTTTTGCGATTTCCCCTTTAAAATATTATAGTTACCTACCTATGATGATACAAAGTTTGTTGACAAGTGTGAGAAAGTTTGTAGACTTCTTATACTGTTTATTTTAGTTCTGTCTGTCTTAGATGCTGATCAAATTTAAAGTTGAATAGTTCAAAGTGAGTAAAGAATGGAGTGAGATGATCTGTGTAGCTCTTTTACTGGCTAAGATCAGCTGTTTCATCAGTCAGATCTTTATTAAAAGCCAAATGATAAGGAACAGCTGGGGTTTACCTACCTGAGTATAGAGACCAAAGTGTCCCATTGTATAGTAGCTTTGACTATTATTACGAGGCATGTTAGTGGGTAAGGGCATTTAAAGACGGCCCCACCAATGTTCATGATGAGCAATGCACTGGGCAGGGTCATTACTGTCCCCAGTACCCAGTGCCTTGCTCATGATGAACATTAGTGGGGCCATCTTTAAATGTTTTTACCCTCTTGTGTACCATTCTGTCACTCATAATGTTCTCGCCATACACTTCTCTAGTCTGTCGATGAATTTCAATGGCTATCACACCTTTAGCAATTAAATATCTAATTACAGTACCCACTTCACAGTCCTCGGTAGTCTCAATTTTCAGCACCATTTCTGAATGCTTGAAACCGGATGTAAACATTGTCGATTGTTGCCGAATTTCCGGTGCAGGCTTGCCAATAGATCCACATACACAGCGCAAATGTCCAAAATGCCATTCGCAGGGCTGGAACGGAGAAATTTAAAAACGGTACTTACTTAAAAAACATGCCTCATACAATTAGTCAATGATAGTAGGTACTGTATTAAGTCCATAAACCAGAATATTGTGTTTTGGTGTCGTGAACACGTTTTAGGTTATTGTAGTACCGACTCTTTTTTGCTAGACATTAGCAAGATATAAATAGCAGATGTGAATAAAGTATGTAAAACGAGCAATAAATTACACAGTAATTTAAAATCAAATTCCCTGTATGATAAGCCTAGCTTGAGCTGGTACACAATTCCATCAAGAATGTCATTTTGGGATTTAAGGTCTTAAAATAATAATTTCTATCATACCATTTAAAATCTTTATTGAATGTGTAAATAAAGTTGTCATAAATAATTTATAAACAAATCTTTAAATGTTACTTTATTTTAACTGGCAGGGTTTTAATTTTGAAACAATCCAGGCTCTAGAACAACTAACTTAATTTGACTTTGCCAATGCATTTGAATAAATCTGGCCAAATAAATGGCTTATGACAACAGCCATGTGAGAGTAACATGCTCTAAATTTTACTACAACTAGTGAAGTCCATGATAAATTATACAATTGTGTACAAAAATGAAGAATATGCGTTTGTAAACATTCAACATATTCATGTTTTTGTTTCACAACTTATTTTAAAGTGACCTAACATAATCAGATAATGAGACAATAATGACCTATTTAAAAATAATATGTTACAATAATCATTAGTGAATCTATGAATAAATCAGAATTTTTCATATATAAGATGTATATAATGAATCAAGTCATATATATGAATAATAAATACAAACAAAAATAATGTCTTCAACATAACTAACTATGTACATAAACAATCTTTTTCCACTGTATTTTTTTAGACGATTGCAATATGAAATAATAAGCACACAGGATCTTATATTTATTAATGACAAAATTTATTAACACAATTACGTATAGATATAAGGCTCATTATTTATTCTTAAGGGTAAAGAGGATGGACATAAACTATTTATTTAAAACAAAAACAAATTAAATAGCAATGAAAAACTACTATTTCAATTAGGCAATGACAAAAAGATAAAAAATAAATTTTTGTCAGATAAAGTAAGAAAAAAAACTAATTTTCAACTGGCAATTTACTTTTATGTGGTAAATAAAAAATCGGTTCAATTTAATACACTAATTAAATAAATTAGATTTTTACTGACAAAATTAATGTCAACATGAACTCATAAAAGAAGGTTTTTAATTTAATAATTAAATTTCCAAACACAGAAAAATATTAAAGGCTTGCAGGCTCTCCATTAGGTAGCACCACATCGAAAACCTTTTTCCTCCAAAATACAATTTCAAACTTTAAATTTGGAACAGATAAATGTATTTAACATAAATCAAAACCCTTTTAGACAGATTACCTAACTTACTGATCGCCCTTGAACTACATGAATAGGTAACAAATTTGAGACTTCAAAGCTCAATTTTTCTTCAATAATTGAGCATTTACATGCAGAGACGTGTCAGAACACATATGGATGGGGCTTATGTTTCATCAACGGAATGTTTAGTCTTCTCCGGCAGGAATTGCGTCTTCAAGACGTTTGATAAACTTTACCCTTAACTCAGTAACACTGTCGCCTTTGAGTACGTCTTGCACAAACCAGCTGCTAACATCCATCTGGACCTAGATAGATAATTAAAATTTAGCATACTAACTAATAAATGGTATCATAATGATAGCACAACCATTGGTAAATGTTTCAAAGTTATAATTTGGGTGCAATTGAACATAGGTATACTTAAATTAACTCATTGTCAAAACCAGGGCCGCCACCAGGTTCACGGTTTACGAGGGCTTCGGCCAGAGAGGAACACTTGGGGCCTAAAATGAAATTTTTCTACTCTTGAAAAATGAATTTTACTGAAAATCTGTTAGGGCGTTCAATTTTCAAAATAAGCAATTATTTTCGTTATTGTTAAAAACATCTGCTAATATTATGCGATGAAAAATCACGATTTTGCCACAATTGCAGTAGATTTTTAAACAGATTTTTGTATACCATTTTCTATTTTTTAAATCAACCTGATTGAATGATTAAATTTGAGGTAACTGCGTTTTAGGAATCAAGATTGGCACGTTTAAGACTACCAGGTCTGTACTGTTGTCTCTAGTAAGTTAATCCGTTGATCATAGAGTAGTATCGTGACAGCATTCAAAATGTCCATAACTTTAGCCAATGCCTGAAACAAAACTGATAAACTACCATCATCGTGCAATTTACTGTACGGTAAACATTGTGCAAATTTTACAGCCCTTTAAGCTCATCGCACACTACAGCCAAACGCGCCGCGCCGCGCCGAACCGCCCTATGGAAACTTCCGCTGTGAGGTCGCACATACTGGCCGCCGTCACCGTCGTTCCTCACCGCACCTCAGCGGCAGTGGGGCAGTGCCTGTAGTTCTGTGCAGTCGTGTGTCTCGTATGTGTTGTCAAGTGTAACATTTTGGTTATTTTTCAAGATGAGCAGCTCTGAGGACGAAGATATGTTTTTATTTTGCCTACTGGAATCAGAAGAGGAGGAGAAGAGGCAAAAAACGACGTGGGTCCATCCCATAAACGAGAAGAGGGAAACATATGGGGAATTTCACCACCTTTTCCCAAATTTTACTGAAAGACAAACGAATATTTTACAAACAAAAAGTTTTATGAACTACTTAACATGCTCAGACCTTTAATTGAAAAACAAGACACAACTTTCCAACAACAACTAGACCGAGGTAGTACGAAGACACACGAAGGTGGCCGTGGTCAGAAATCGGTTCCGTTGCCTATCGCACACTACAGAACAATTCCACGCGACTTCTCCCGAGAGTTCTGGCAACGGAATTATTCCGAGGCGGACACGGCTGCGCGGCGCGGCGCGCTCAAGTGTGCGCACTCTCATTGATTCCCATGCAAACTATTCGGCCGGAATTATTTCACGGCGGTTCGGCGCGGCGCGTCTGGCTGTAGTGTGTGATGAGCTTTACTCCTTCCTCACATTTTAAATCTAAATTAAAACTTTCTCCATTCATATCGCTTCTTGGCGATGAACTTTATGGGTTAGCCTGCAGAATTAACCACAATAATAAAATCTCAAGGAAAACAAAACATACTTAAGTGTAGATTTTCCTCACATTGTTGTAGGTTATTAAGAATCAAATTATCATTACCCTACATATGATTGGGGAAAAGCTAGGATAGTTGTGGAGCAATTGATTATAGAATGATTTCTACTGTTTGCAAGTCATTACAATCACCTATTGTTTACTGGGGAGCGAGCTGGTCTAGTGATAGAGCACTGGGCATAGGTTCCCAAGGTTCCAGTTTAAAACCTCACCAATCACCAATGGGTGAGTCATGACGCAACATCCACCGGCGCCTATCTTGTGTGTTCGTCACTTGGCCAAGCTTGTAAATTTGTGTCATTTAAATGTTGTTTTTGAGTATTTTGTGTACCTACAATAGACATTAGCCTATATATCTTGACAAGCTCATCGACCGATGAAACGACGAAAGCATATTTATTTTACCGTTCTACAACCTGAAGATGTGCTCCAGCGGCATGAAACAGCTGTAATTGATGCTAACTACAACACGGATTGTTTGACGCAAAAGGTAACATAAATAAACCATTTTATATACCAATGGGTTTTATCTGAGTCATTATGCCACGACCCTTTACGCCTTGCCTGAAGTAATGTAAGAACTAAGAGCGGTTCAGGGCTAGAACCTAGCAGTTAGTGTGGGATATAAAAAACTGTGTTCCTAGAATTCTTTCTTGAGGGAAACAATTTCTTACGCTATAGGCAACGACTATCACAGGCAGGAAAGCGTGTTTAGCAAAGTATGCCAAATAAACACATTCCTACTCTAGTTTGATCTTACAACTAGTTAAGTCTAGACATACCATTTCACAAGCACCTCGCAAAACTCCTGTGAGAACATTCATATACTTGAGGCCCAGGCAATGGTCAGGCAACTCGACAAACTCTGTGAGTGGACTGGACTCAAACTGGAGCGAAAACTCATCCCCAGCTGAACTCCAATTGGTGATAACCGGAGTGATACCCAAGTACAGCCTGAACCCAGTCTGTAATAACATTTAATTGTTACTAAATTTAGGCTAGTCTAGGCCTATTTAGGACAAAATATATATTTAACTTCTAGTTAAATTAGTAAATGATGGTAGCCTATATTTCATTACTAGGGCCATGAACCCCTCTGATAAAAGGCCTCGGAGAGACAAAAAAGTGGCAACACTGCTGTCTTAGCCTACTGAAACAGACGTTGCACGGATTTAAATGGAGCGTCTGCCAAATATGTATGTTATTGCTGTTATTATCTCAGCAATAGATCGGCCAGTTCGACGTTGCCACATATCAACACGGCTTTGCCTTAGAAGAGGCGTAAAGTGACTGTTTTAAACACATGTTCAAAAATAAAAGGATATTTTCTCCAAATAACTCTCTAACACCAACAATTTTTTGGCCTACTTAAAACAAACCTACTTAAAAATGGTTTTACGTGCCTGAATCTTTTCAGCGGTATCCTTGAAGTCGTAACAGCGACCAGCATTTGTTCTGGCGAGAAAATCTTCTATAATTCTGATGCCGATGTTGTAACCCATTCTCTCGAGCTGTTTATTGACTTCTTCAATGTTGTCACTGTCTTTGATCAACTGACTGACCAATGCTCCATAGGTTAGGGTGAAAAGTTCAGAATTCTGAAAATATATAGAACGATAATTAAATTAGGTAGTAATCATTAATATAAGCTTTCAGAATAAAAGAATCTCATCAACATTAGGCCGAGGTGAATCCAGTCATTGGCAGAAACAGACATTCTTCCTCTTTTCAAATTGAGAAAACCAAACTGTAACGTAGATAATTAGGCCTATGCTGAAATTGATGCTACGAACTTTTATTTTCTAGTAGGACTGTTACATATCCATTTAAGTCCCTAATGTATTACAAATTGCTTCTATAAATCTTTCTGGGTCGATCCAAATTCAATTTATGTGTTTTTAACTTCTTCAGTTACTTATAGAATTTAACAATTCTTCTTCAATGATTGAAAATGTTAGCCTACGTGTTTGTTTATGTTTAGAACAGTGAACAACAGAAAACAAAAAAAGGCGTTGTATAAAAAGTGTGTGAGCGCAACCATAGACCTATGGTCACACTAAACGACCTCCGATCAACGGTGACAGAAATTAAACAAACGCATCCAGAAGCATCTTTTGGTCATGGCAAAAAATATGCTCCCCATGTTATCTTACGGCATCAACCTCATTACACGACTATCCACTCTCTCACTCACCCAGTTTCTAAGTGCACTGTTTTCGTATCTTGTTTAGTTTTGGTCTAGAAGCAGTATAAAATAAGTAAAATTTGCAGTTAAAATACAAATATTTATATCAACACGTGTGTATAGGCCTACATAACTTAGCTCTATATGAGATATAACCCCTCCAAAGACCTAGTAGGCCTGGCGAGTAAAAAAGGTTTCAGCGACCAAATCGACTAACTTAGCCCCATTTAAGCTGGGGTCTTGTTCATAAATAAGTAGTCTACCGGTGTCTCAAGATAGGCTAGTTGTGTGCAGCAAGTTAGTTAGCCTAGGTTAGTTATTAAACTTATAAGTTAAGTTAGTCGGGTTGTTAAGTAAACAAACTTGACAAGGTGAACAACTATCTCGAAGGTCCACGTCAATTTGCCTATTACAATCCACACACAGGCCTAGGACAAAAGTTAATTTTAAGTGAAAGTTAATTTTAGATGAGTCGGTGGCTCAGATGGTAGCGTCACGGACTTTGGGCCCAAGGCAGAAGTGTCGTTGGTTCGGATCCTGGTCACTGCCACAAACTTTTATCAGTACAGTTCACCTTTGTACTGTACCGGCTCACCCCTTGCTTTGCTGGATACGTTCCACGCACAGATCTGTAGTCTATGTGGACGGGCAAATGCAAGGTTAAAAGAGGCTGCCAACCTCTTTAAAAAAAAAAAAAAAAGTGAATGACAACACTTCTTTTAAAAATTCTCTTTAAGGCTTTGATGTCTAAAGAGATAAGTTAACTTAGCCTACTTGAATACATAGGGTAGCCTAAGTCTAGTTATATTGATAGGGTGGTTTTCAATAATACAATGAATCAAGTAAATGACTTAATAGGGTAGGAGACTTTACGACTTATTTTATATTGAATACTTAATACTAAAAAAAAAACCTATAAGGCTATAATAGCCTAGGTTACTTACAACTTTCTTTGCATCTAATCGCGTTCCTTGACGAGCCATATTCTATCCGTGTCAGAAAATCTATGAAGCTTAATTTGATTAAATTTCAACGTATGATGCAATATAGCATCACCAAATAAATAAAAACACTAAGTTATAAAATAAATAACAATTTAATAGCAGAAACAGAATTCAAGGAGTTGACTGTTCAATTCCAATTCAGTTTGTTGGTTGGTTTGGTATGGGTATGACAGTGTCAGTGACAGAAAAAAAAACAGATGTTGAGATTTAGTAGTCTGCTCTTGATGTGTTATTGTGTTGTAAACGAAGAAGAAAAAAAGAGTCATAAGTCATGTCATTTTTAATTCTGGCTTGCAAAGCTTACAAACATGTAGCACAAATATTGAAGAAATACTTTTTTGCAGTTTTACTTTTGATCCTCTTGTAAACTGTCTATAATAACCACATGATTATACTTTGGACTTATATACCTACTTCGGAATTCTGAAGTCCAAGAAAAAATTACTATAACTTCTTAAGCCTATTATTAAGTGTGTTTCATCATTGATTATACATCTTCAGTGTTTTTGGTAAATAAACTATGTGGTAAACTCCCAAGCTATAGCTTGGGTTTTATAAGATGACCTTCATGAAACGATTATTGTCTCATGAAGGTCATGTTTGTCAAGAGAGTGTGAAGATGTCGACTAAATTAGCTAGATTTTACGGAGAAATTGTTGTTTATATAAATCGTTTAGTTTGGTTGAAATACAAAGAAAAACTAGTACACAACTTAAACAATTATAACAATATCAGCCCCTCCATATTATAAATCCCATGGAACTAACCATTCATATGTTACCTATTATATATAATTTTTTTTTGTTACTTTATCACAATTTGTTGTGAACTTTTGGAAACAATATGATTTGGACAGATCCTTTTTGAAAATTATAATTCATGAAACATTAAGAGGTTCATTGACTATAATGAGATATCATCTATATGGCAAACATCAAAATTAATCAGTCTTAAAGCTGCATAATCCTTCAATATTTTAAGTGTACATTTTTTTCTGTGTCATTGGCAACCTTATTTTTTTAAGGCAGATGTATTTATTTTTATAAATCAATTGTTTTCTCTCCCTCTTGCCACTGCCATAGCAGGCTCCTATGTTTTTACTTAATTATTATACAGTTATTTATACACTGCATTATGATTCATAATTTCCTGATTTTATCAAGTTCAAGCTCATCATCTTGTAACCTGGCACCTTGCTGGTTTTATAAGCATAGAGACAATCACCTTAGAGTAGATTATGCTAATATACCCTATTTAAGTATTCAACTAAAACTAATGTAGGCCTACATGTTTCAAAGAAGGAGGTCCACCATATGGAGACATTTAGAATGCCAATCTATACGAGGCGCAATCGAGGGGATTATTAGAAACCATAATGCTATTCCGTTCTGGACCACTTGTGATGCATCTCAGACAGAGACAGAGGCAAGTAAATGTGGTAGATTAGTCTGGCAGTGGAGTGATTCTCCATCTCAATGAGTGACAACCCTACACATGAAGTTGAACACCTGACATATTATATTGATACACATCACTCGCTTATAGCCGCAGCCGGAGATGACGGATTTTCACTGTCTTCACTAACTATACCACCACAAGTCCAAACTTCATTCTTCAGTCGAAATGCAACGTATCCAGGGGGATCCTCTACTCTTGGTACCATCACACTTTTAAGAGAGAGAGATGTTTCTCCAGACCATAGCCCAAACCACTATTGAAGTAGTACGCACCCGATCCCTTTGGGTTCACATATGATATATGGGTAAGTTTGTGTACCCATGTTTTGCTTGATATGCATGTGAAGATTATGGTCCAGTATGCACTGCCCCAAGCTATACTTTCTGGCAAGAATAGCCCGCCATTACATAGTTAGTCTCTGCACGTTGTATGGCTAACTTTTGTAATATTAAAACAATTAGAGGCTATCCACAAGATCCGCAGAAATAGGTTCTCGATTAACACAAAGTTTGCGGGGCCAGACAACTCCAGGCGGACCTGATAGTTCCGCACCTTCACATACTGGCTAATTCTAGAGACTTTCAACATGACACACACCATATTGGTAGGCTCAACAGGCACTCTTATTAGGTTGCATTGCAAACTTAAGTAATGGAGAACCTGCCTTGATCTCATGGATTGTGGAGAAGGCGCAGCTCAAGATAGCTGAGTTCCAGTCCACCATGACACACCGTGGACTGTGGATTATTAGTCTTTTGACTGTGTAGGGCTGAAAAAGTACCCTACAGGTAGGTAAGACCCTAAGACCTCATAGGTACCTATTTCTTATTTTGCTGAGACTCATCCAGCGTCTTGTACACTGCTTGAGTTCCGACGCATGGGGACAATGATAAGACTGATGAGTTTATACGCGTATGTGAGTACTTTGGTATACTATATGACACTCTGGTGGATCTAGAACAGTCACAAGGGGGGGGGGTTTAGGGGGTTTGGGGGTGATATGGAAATTGATACTACACAATATATCAACTGCTACCAGTGAAACTAGTAAGTATAAACACAATGGTTTCTGTTCATCTTACACTTGGTTGTGGAAGCAAAACCTCAGAGTAATGAGAAACAATGAGTGTACATGTCATAGTGTACCGATACTCTATGTCTGGTAAGTGAGTATGAGTAAAGCCAAGCCTTTACCTGCACCCATTATATTACACTAATATAATGGTAGGTGACAAAGATAATCAATTGTTTATCTTTACATATGTACTAGATGATAAGAATTCAACATTACTACCCTAATGGCTTTTATCCAAACTGTCTCTATAGGCCTACCTACTTCACTTCCCCCTACATTGTCTTCCCTAGTAGCACAAATATATATTAAATACATATCAATAAATATTTTTAAAATCTATTTTATATATCTCAAGTGTGTATTAATGTCAATTTTATATAATATTTAAAATATATTATATGTATATAAAATATGTTTTTGAATCTATTAAATATTAAAAAAATATGTTCCAATAATATATTTTAGTGAATAATATTTAAATGAAAAATGTATTTAATATCTCTTCCAAACATCCCATGAGGCCTAAACATAAAAACATAAAATAATGATGATATAGTATGAAAAACACAATTATCAGTTGAGTAAATTGATTAAATAGTTCATAAAAACAAATTTAGAAAAAATAACTGGATAAAATTTATTTGACCCGGGTGGGTCTCGAACCTGGGTCCTTCGACTTGTGAGCCTCTTACCTTACCTCTGAGCTACTTGTGATTGTTACTAACCTTTGTTTTCAAATGGTCAAAGAGCGGCCGTCAGTTGCAATGGTTGCAATAATTGAAAATTGTTTGATACTACAGTATAATATGATTCTGTTAATCTGTTTTTCCGTAATTCATTTCTTAAACGGTCGCCAGTCGCTAGCACCCTTTTCTAGCCAATCATTAGAGATTTCTATGATCACATTCATTGTCACATATTGCAATTTAAAAAATAAAACCCATCAACACTTTTTTTCGTTTGACCCAAATGTAGCTGCCGAACATGTATACTGCCTCTTAACCATATGCGTAATTTTTCTTTACGTGCATGATAGAGTGACACCATTCAGAGTACGTATTATTATTAACTTAATTTTAACGCTTTCATAATAGCAATTATCATATAAAAATGCATGTATAAATTGATAGACACTATAAAAAACAAAAAGATGCAAATTATTTATTTGCTAATTATAAAAGATTATAGGCTATAGTCTATGTTCTACAAATATACTATCATTTTATCAATAAAAATAAATGTTGTGTTTCAAAATATATTTATAAATACTTTAAATATATAATATAGTTTCAAAAATATTTCATATATATATTTAAAATATTCTCAACACCTAATTTTTTTTAATATTTAATAGGAAAAATATACATATAAAATATTTATATTATAGATTCTATACTTATTTGATCAATATATATTATGAATCTATTTTATATATTCAAAACTTATATTTAATTTATATTTTGCATTGCTTGTTGGTAATATTTTTAATATATATTTGAATATATCAAACTGTTATTAAAGATATATTATTTATATATTTTATTCTAGGTTCTATCAAATACAACTTTGAATATATAAAATATTTATAAAATACATATTTGTGCTACTAGGGTTACTTTATATATAAAAACTTACGATCAGAGATATGGACTGTTATGTACAAAAGTTAGTAAACATTTTTTATTTTACTTAAAATGTTTAGATTTTAAACACCCATGAAATTGATAAGCTTTATAAGTCTGAGAATTTAAAAATTAAAAGGGGAAGGGGGATTAAAACAGAATAAATTATTTTTCTAAATAAATGTATTTATTGTTTTTTTTTCACATATTCACTCTATTATAAAATATAAATACACTCTTTCATTATAAATCAACAATTCTGATGACTTATTCGGATAAAATATATCTATTTTTCTATCTTAAAATTTTGTATGTGTAATCAAAATTAAGCCTTTCCTAAATTCAATAAAAAATAACTACAGCTCTGGTTTTATCTACATTTTAAATTTTTTTATACACACTAACACAAATACACCACACTCTGAAGAATAAAATTAAACTGAAACATTTCTATAAATGCAATTACGTATAGAAAGCGTTCTTGTACAAATTACAGTTGAATTATTTTTTACTCTTAACGCTTATGAAATATTATTCAATTAAATGTTTTATGATTTTTTACAAGGTGATAATATATTGAAATAAAAAAAATATTTGTTGAAAAAATTAATATTACATATACCTGGCATATAAAAACGTTTTTATGTATTACCAAATTAATCTGGTAACAGTTTTACAAATATTTATTGATTGGCAGTATCAATGAAGTCTTGCTCTTGCTTGAAGAGTATTACTTGTCCTTACGTGTTGAAGGATGTACCCGAAAGTTCTTTGTAGTAACTGAATGTAACAATCTCAAAGTAAAGATAGACCACTGCAACAAAACATATCAATATAGCAACTTTTTGATTAGAATTTTGTGTTAGGAGACATATTATTATTTTCCGTTCAGACGCAATTCCAAGAGGGGGAGCTGGAATTAAGCCCCCTCCATTGGACCCTGAAAAATAAATTGAAACATTCAATTTAGTCCTAAAACGTAAAGAGGTGTTTAGATACAGTTCTAGATGTTAAAATAGCTTTAGAAAATCACCAACTTTAAAAATACCAAATATTCTCTGCAAGGACCCCCCTTTCTTGGAGGTGAGTATGGAAGACCACTTGAAAAGGTCCTAGAACTGCCACCATATCCTTTTACTCTAATACTATTGGTTATAATGAAATACTTCTCACAAAACTTATAGATTTACCTACACTTTAATACTTTAATACTTTTCAATTTCAACATGGTAAATATAAACAACAGACCATACGTTGACTCTCAGTTTCTAACAGGTAATACACTGTTCAGCTTCAGTCTCAATATTGAAAATTCTGAAATGGATTACAGTCATAACATGTTTTTATTGTCCTTTGTGTTTGCAGATACAGTAGAACCTCTTTAATCCGAACTAATTGGGACCGGGGGTAGTTCGGACTAGTGAATAGTTCAGATTACAGAACATTGTTGTTTTTACATAACAATAGCTAGGGAAAAGTGAAAAATGCTTTATAAAGTAAAATACAGAGTTTATTTAATACAGTAGTAAACATAGGGAATAATCAGTACTGTACATTACAATTGAAATAATTACAGTGCTTCAACATCAATAAATACAGTATACAATAAAAAACTACTGTACTGTGTATAGAGTACATTAATGAGGCGTTCTGATTAGTGGACGTTCGGATTACAGGAGTTCGGATTAAAGAGGTTCTACTGTATTAAAACTTGTTGGCAGACATTTATTATAGTATAATTTGTAGTCATAAAATTTCATTTTGTAGTATCTGACACAAGACCAAATGGAGCTTAAAATAAACAAGAACATTAAAATAAAAAATATTGAAAATCTCAGGGACCAAAGTCCGAGCTCTCACTAGATTAGCTCGTTCCCTCGACTCTATAAGCATTGACATTACCTGCAATGATGATAGGAACAATCATCCACCAGCTCCACAGGATAATTAGGGCAATGTCAAACACAACCCCAATCACAGATGTTCCGAAGAAGCCAAAGGACCAGAGCATTAGTAGTCCCGGGATCTCCTGTGGATAGGAGGTGTAGTTATTAGATAAGATAACATTTTGGGATTCACATATTTAGTGGCCAAAAATCTCTTTAGAGCTAAGTTACAACTCTGTCTGATCACATAGCAAATATAACATTTGGCAATGGTGACCAAAGGAAATATTTTATACTACATGACTGTAATCAGTGATCGTGAACTATCATTATTATTTCCCCTAATCGCATAAAGCTCATCAATATCAACTTCTACACTGACAAAATTATTGTCATCTCCCTCAACTGTACTGCATGTTACCATGAAGTACTTCATCATCATTTTCTGCAATAGCAAAGAAATCGTAGACACCTCCCACAGTCATGGGGACCTCATCATCAACGGCCATAAGGATGAAATCGTCAACATGTCCAGGATAGCAGAGACATCATAATTGTCAATGGCGATCGCGGTGAAGTTGCTTAAAGTTGGAATAAATACTGTCCATAGAAAATCCTGAATAACATTTAATTTATATTGGGGTGCGGGGGAGGGGGTGCAGTTATGTCTCCTCAGGTCCATGAAGGACACAAGCAAACCACCAAGGGCCTGCTTGTGTATCAGTAATCAGATATCTGAAAATATATAACTTAAAAGGATTTTTCATGAATAAAATTAATTTGACCTTACAATCATTACCTTACAAAGAATGCCTTACCTGTTGGACTGCGAAGAACAACAAACCACCCATCAAAACCTTGATGACATGTGTGATCATGGCTAGGATCATCCAAACATCGAAAGCTAAAAATATAAAGAAAATACTTTAGTCTCTTGAACTAAAACTAGGTACATGCTAGCCTGGTAACTGAAGTACCAGGTTTTTGAAGGCTAATTTTACAAGTTGAAATATAGCATTTCCCCATTTTTTACGAGTAACTCTAAAAATATTTTGTATAAACAAACACACCAAAACAACACAACAATATTGAAGGTTTTTTTAAATTCACTAACTATACTAATTTCTGCTTCACCATTAGCTTTTGATACAATGTAGCCTTTAAACTTTGTTGAATCATTACCTCGGATATAAAAATTTAGAGAAAAACACTTTAACATGTGGTAGAGTGAAGTAAAATGTGCTGTTGAATTTAACAATGCAATTTGAGGTTTTGAAAATAGTTATTAGACCCTCAAATAGTGTTAGTTATCTAACTCTACAACATAAAGGTTTGTGTTTTCTTGAACAATTAAAAAAAAATATTTCCATTTTCAGTTGTCAAAGACAACACACTTTTATATTCATTCACTTAAATTTAAAGTATCTACAAAAATAAAAATCATATATTAGAATTTACCTGTATATTTGTCTGCATCTATTTCCTTCTTATTGTATATGACAATATAAACGATGAAGAGAGCTATGTATAATACCTGAAAAGAAACAAACTTATAAGCTTTTCTGCTAAAATAGTTTTAATAAACATACTAACTTAACAATCACAGTCCCAGCCATAGTGGCTTTAGCTGTAAAACATCCACAGTGCTAATGCTTTTCATATAGTTGACTTAAGGATAAGCATTTGGTTTGAGTTAATTTTCCCCCATAAAAATCCCCAAAATTGTACTTGGAGAGTTGCAGTGTATAGAATCAATAATCAAAGTCAAATTTGGAAAGAGTTCCCACTATCTGTAAACGATACAACTTGACCACTGCTGGTTAGCGGATGAGTGTGTTCAGTTCTTTTAGCTAAATATTTTATTTGCCTGTACATAAATATTAACAACAGCTGATCTTTGTTTAAGAATTCATAATAATGTAAAAATAAAACACTACAACAAAACCATTTAACTAATTGGGTCTGATGGTTGGAAGTGTCCAATCCAAATCGTATCACACTCCAATCTTTTAAATAGTAAATGGCTGTTATTACCTTCACGTTAAAACAGTACAAGTGTATATCGTAAGTTTTTGGTGTTAGACATATTATTATTTACTTTCTGTAGTATTTGTGAAAATTGAATAACTTACTATAGACAGAAGTGAGATGATGAGGGACCCTCGCCTCACTGGCATCACGCCCAAGAATGACCCTAGTTGCACCATCTGAAACAGAATTATAGAAAATATTGCAATTATAAGAAGCTAATGGACAATTTTTGCTAAATCTACAGGGACATCATTCCTCATTATTTGGGATATTTCACCGTACAAAGTTAGCCTGGAAGAAATTAGTAAATGATTACTGTATTGTAGAATCGTGCTTTTCTGATGACAACTTTGTCAAAATATAGAGGCTGAAATATCATTAAAGAATATTTTGTTGATTTTTCAGGATAGGTCCAGAGGGTGTCACTCTATTACCACTTAGATAAAATCCATTGGCAATTGGCAGGACTTAAACCCGAGACCTCAGGGACCGAAGTCCCACGCTCTACCTAGACCAGCTCGCTCCCCACAATATATAGGTACAATGAAATTATAAACACTCACTTTATATGCTCCGCACGGATGCACACCTTTGTATTATTTAAAACTAAATTCAATAAATTCCATTAATTTAAGGGAGTACCACTACCATTTTTAATCTATTTTCTTATTTATTTTAGTCAATTTCATAAATTAGTTAACTTTTCAAATTTTAATGGCATGTCTGATGTTCAGGTCTCTACACAGACACAAAAATAGTATTTTAGTAACTAATTTTAACTACGATCTTAGATCTTAGAAGTCGTATGGTAAGATGGAAGCAAATAAGCTCTATCACATTAAACCAAAGCAATAATTAAGTAAATATTTTAAGTCAAACAGTTAATGGCTAACCTTGCAAGATTGAAGGACAATATTCTAACCTCTACCTGTAGCTGCTGGTGAATACCCTTTCCAAGGTCTGCTCTGTTATCAGCATTATCAATCTGAGAGTTCTTATCAGCCTGTCTGTTTGTACAAGTAGAGTTACTTCATTTTGCAGCTCTATTGTTACCTTTTTCAACTTTTGCTTTCAGAAATGGTATTGGCTGACAGTGTTTTGAAAACATTGATGATACCCTTGATGAAAATTTTCTTATTTTGTAAATATCTTTTTGGTTTGTAAAGTGATTCTACCTAATGACTATTCAATCGAGGGGTTTTCTCCCCTTCTCGATGCATACATTCATTCTCTTTAACAGCAGATTGCTAACAAACCAAATAGCCAATCTGATTTATATCAGGACATTTCTCAATCTGATGTCCTTATCCTTTTGGACCTTGGGACATAGGAAGTTACACCCAGTTACATGTATCATGTTCACATCCAAATATAATGTCAATATAGATGAGAAGCTAATTCCAAAAACTCCATATGATTTGAGTTTAGTACTATAGATGTACATTATCCAAAATACAAATTATACAAATATTCAACCAAATAATTATACTTTTACAAAAGTTTTTAGAAGGTATACTCAGTACCCTGTTGTAATGGGGGCTACAGGGACTAAGACAACCCAATTATTGGACCCTGGAAAAATAAGTTTAAACAGTTTATCCTAAAAAATATAGGAAGATTTGGATAGCCTACAGTTCTAGGTTTCAGCATAGACTAACCTACACAAGTTGGTTAGTCACTACACTATAAACAGCTAATAAACATTATCTTTACCAAAGGGAAATCTCCAGATCCCTCTCCATTTGTTCCACAACCCCCAAACCTCCCAGTAGCCCTCCCCCCCTTGATAAGGTCCTAGAACCACCACTGGGTAGACTCAGCTTTTACAATTTTAAGGGCTACAATTTTAGCAATACTAGAAGTATGCAAGCTGTCACAATCTTTAAGTTGCTTGTTCTTGGTTGGGTTTTGTGTAAATACATCCGACTATGTTTTAATACATCTCCAACCATTATTGAGCTTACTTAACAATAATCTAAACTTAAACTAGTACGAATACAATATGAAACAGTGTTTTCGAGATCCCTCACATAAAACATATAGGACACTCCCTTACTTTATTTATATGAAATTTAACATGAATGAAGCAACTCCAGACTTACCTTTATGTGGCAAAGGCGGAATTCTAAAGTCAACTGTGTCTGTTATCAGTTTGGCCACTCCAGCTAATCTTATCCATGACTAACCATTTCACAACTGGGTTGATAACAACTAGGCGAGCCCTGTCCTATTTTCATAGTATTTTTGTAAAGTAGGTAAAAATACAGAACTATATGGCCATCAAAACATACTTTAAAATATATTTAATTTTTGTTTGAATTTGAAAAATAAATTCAAGATTGATTTATCTTCTGAGAATAACAGCCAAGACATTCCTTTATGCGATCAACTGATATTAAAAAAATACCTGTGACAAAACTCAGTAAAATTCTAGGAATCGGTTCAAGGGGCACAAAACTTACCAAAAGCTTAGAAAAAAAATTATGACTCCTCTGGTCAGTATGTTATAGCATAGACTAACCAACACAAGTAGACTTCTCATCCCATTGTAAATTTTGAAGCTCGTTTTTCATGTCTAGTTCAGTGTACGCCACACTGGGCGCTAGTGTCAACGTAATTTTGCTTCTATTATTTTAGGGTTAATTTCTTGATTTGTGCTTTACTGTTTGGTTAAATAACTAGGGGACAATTTATTGTTTATGATTAGATCGTATTATTTGGTTAAACGAGGTTTTAAATGACTGTATTAACGGGAAACAAATTGTAAACAAAACACGACATCTGCAGAAAAACGGACAGAACTAACAATAAAATTGGCTTCAGCTGTTCCATTAGGATGAGAAATCTACTAAGGGAGTATGTTTTATCTATGGTTATAGCATAGACTAACCAACACAAGTAGACTTCTCATCCCATTGTAAATTTTGAAGCTCGTTTTTCATGTCTAGTTCATGTACGCCACACTGGGCGCTATTGTCGACGAAATTTTGTTTCTATTATTTTAGGGTTAATTTCTTGATTTGTGCTTTACTGTTTGGTTAAATAACTAGGGGACAAGTTATTGTCTATGATTAGATCGTATTATTTGGTTAAACGAGGTTTTAAATAGCTGTAATAACGGGAAACAAATTGTAAACAAAACACGACCTCTACATAAACCGTACAGGAACTAACAATAAAATTGTCTTCAGCTGTTCCATAAGGATGATAAATCTACTAGGGGAGTATGTTTTATCTATGGTTATAGGTAACATGTTAAAAAAATGGTGGCTCATAGGGTAGAAACTTGATGCTAAGTAAAGTTCAACCCTTGACTTACAAAACTATGGAGTTTGTCTAGTCTCATGTGACAAAAACATAAATATGTTTACCTATTTATTTTCAACAAATGAGTCTTTCGTTTGTTCATAACAGTTACATTTTATGGGGATGACCATATGTAAAGGTTTGAGTTCAGGAACTACAGATGATAATAGAGTATTACTTGTTTGTGGTTTTGTAATTTGTGTTCATAAACTGCAGTTGCGTCTTTCTAATGTTTTTTTTTTAGAAAATAATTTATACACTGTTTTTGTTATATCTGATATAGATTTTTCTTCTATAATATTATGGAGTGTCTCATAGGTCTCAAGATTAAAATCCTTTAAAATGTTAGTAAGATGCCATGACAATTTTTACAGGAATGGATTAAGCATTGAGACTAGTTTCCTAAAAATTAAAGGAATCAAGACTGTTCTTATGAGGTGAAAATCTTACCTTCAAACTGACTTCTTAAAAAATAAGCTGTAAATTCTGACTCAAATAAGTAAACATCAACCTTATAAAATTCGCAAATGCTGTGATGGTACATAATCTTGGGCATTTCACAATATAATAAATAACTGCCACAAAACCTTTTGAAGAAGTCAAAGTGTTATTGAAATCCTTGCAAAAAATAATAATCAGTTTAAAGTGTTGACACACAACGCAAGTCACGTACAGTTTTATTGGATATTTTTAAGAGGTCTAAGAAAATGCAGACTTTTACTATACCCGTTATTTCTGTATTTATATAGCATTTCGAAGCGACAATATGTTATATTTAGCGTTAGCGCCTTCAAAACAGAAACGCAAGTCCTTCACTATTCTAGCTATGAAATTGCATGTTGTTTTCTAAGGCGCTGCTATTAATGTAAACTTATTCCGCTATTCCAGAGGTTTATTACAGTATTTGTTTAAATAAAAGATGAAACTTTGTGTACTTTATATTTGTGAAGATTGTTAGGCATTAATTTATATCGCAAAATTTAAATGTGGTATAATTACTGTACTTAACTCACTAGTGTACAACCAATTTAATTGATAAAACATCATTTTCAAATTGATAACCAAGAAAATCATAAGTTTACTGATTAAATGTTTTTTATTTTAATTTTAGATACCTTTCGTATACTACCTTGTTGCCAACTAATGCTTACCCAAACAATTAGACTAGAGGCCATCTCCAATTTTATTACAAGTTCAAAACTCGTCCATTAAAGAGGCAAGTGGAAAGGAGTATTACTATATAACAGACCTACTAATAGTGTAACACCAATTTCATAGACGTATCATAAATTAATTCGTTCATATAATGGAAAGGATAAACATTTTCGCTTTGAAACACGTTGTACAGTTTAGAAAAAGTTGCTAACCATGTTCTTTCTAAAAAGAACCTAATTCTACCATCAGAAATATCTAAAAACTAAAGTATAACTTACTTTGATGAAGCAGTCTTGTAGGTAAGCAAGATCTCTGGAGCGGGCCTGGCTATAGCGAACACTACTGACTCACAATGTTCTTATCATTTCTTATCATTCCTTCATATCTCTGACGAAACAGGTACTCAGGCCTGTCTGAGTCGATAAAAATTTGAAAATGCCGCGTTATTGTTGCTAGAATACGATGAAATAACTGATTATCCATCAGTAAAACTACTTGAATAACTGACTCGGCGGTATTGAGTCAATTAGTTGGAAATTCCAGTTAGACTAATCAGTTTTATTGGAAATTGAAAAATCAGCTCTACTGAATTGAAAACACGACAAAATATAAAGCCTAAATCAAATTATTTATTTGTGACGTTGCAGATGGATTTTGTAATTTTATATAGCTACTTAAACATTTACACAATTTATGTATAAAGTGATTACGAATTATTCATAATCGCTTTATAATAATAAGTTATGTGAATGTAGGTAAAGGACATTTTTCATAGGGGATTTTATAATAACCAATTTGAGAATTTATTTTCGTAAACTTCAATGACGTGGTCCAAATAAAGTGTAATCTAATGGTTCATTCTTAGTAGACTAATTCCTATAATCAGCTATTTATACAATTTTGTCAAGTCCATTAGATCCTGAACTACCGAGTTTAACAAATCCGCTAATAAAGATAATAAATAAATGACAATTAAGAATACGCAATTTTTATTTAGTTAGCTGCCAATTTAGTTTAACTAGTAGTTTATTGAGTGTCCAAGTCTAACAACATTAATAATTCAATATACCCTAAGTGATTTGAGCAACATGTTGTACAGCATAGTATGAAAATAATTTCGATTAACCGAAATAAAGGGGGGAGAGCCGTTTCGGATAACCATTTTTTCGGTTATCATATGCTAAAAATAGCCAATGTATCACCACAGTGTGTAGGGATAATGAATTTAAGAGAATGTCTATATAATTCAGTGTTTTATTTCAGCTACAAAAATGTTACAATGGGATAGAATGATAGAATTAATAACGGTGAGGATATAATCATTGACTATAGAATGCAGTTTCTACTAATAAGAAATCCTCACGACCGCAAAAAATAGGCTATAAAGTACTACCATAGATTAAACACACTCTTTGTAGTAGTATTCCTATAATGTACTAGTAGTACAGGTGCGCTGCCTCTTTCCATCTCCAATGACTGGCAGTGGCAGTACTCAAGGTCACCTTGTAGTGCCGGGCAGAGCAAGCGGGGATGTAGCTCAGTGGTAGAGCGTTCGCTTTGCATGTGAAAGGCCCCGGGTTCGATCCCCGGCATCTCCAATATAATTTTGGAGGAGATTACTCTATAAATTACACTGGGTAAAATTTCTTCAATGAAATAATGTAGAAGATACAATGATAATTTGAATATAGAAACATTTTAAACCTACAAAAAATTGAAAAATTTAAGTTTCAAAAGAAAGGCAAAACTTTAATTTAATTTTGTTAGGATTAGAGTGCCTTTCCAACCGAAATACGGGAGTATTTAGAATATAAATGTTTAATTGAGTTATAATAAAACTTAGATTCAATGAAATACCCCCGCCGCAGCAAACCTGCCGTCTAAGCGAATTTCCATTTGGCCGAATTGATTTTCAATTGATCTATTTAAATAACATTAGGTTTAACGAGTACCTAGGTTTGCTGCTACAAGGAAACTAATAAAGTAGTGTGTTTTTAGTAAAATATTGATAGCTTACTATAAAATAAATAAATTTGCCAAGTTTGATCAAAATATATCCATAAACAAGCAAACTACAACATTTTACAATATTCTCCATAAGAATAACATGGGAATTTTAAATTTACCATTTTTTTAGTTTTCTCCGTAACCAATAACCCAACAAAAACACTTTGATATACTGAATTGTTTGTTTTTTTTAAGCTCTTTAAGCAGGTTTAGAGAACAATTGGGAAATTATGTGCTTTGAGGGTAAGAAGTGAGAAAAACCAATTTTTACCCCATAAAACCCCCCATAAAACCCTGTTCCCATGGTCCGATCATGCTGGATCGCGAACTCATTCAAGTTTATCCCGCCTTACACCTTCAAACCAAATTTCATCAAAATCGGATAAAAATTACTCAAGTTATCGTGTTCACGGACACATATATATATATATAAATCTATATATATATCTATATATATATATACATATATAAAAATTTGAACGAATGGTGTTTTTGGCCTCTGGGGACATTAAAATGAAAAAGTAAATCGGTCCCGGGCCTAAGTCTTACCATGAGACCTACGGTAATAGCTACTTCCCTATAGGGAAATTCGCTAAAAAGAAAAATCGAAATATCCATATAATGGAAAGTATGCCAAGCCAGCATACTAATTAACATTTAATGAGAGCTCGTAGGATCTGAATTTGTAAAAAATATCCAGTGATTATACTCTATTTATGTTGCCCAATAAGTTTGTTTATAATATTATAAGCTTTGACTAGAAACTTTTGACGTCCACCTGACCAGCCTGCATGAATTATGACATAGACCACAAACAGAACTAAATATAGACCGTCAGCTGTGCTGCGGTTACCATAGGTTCTGGCGCACATCGCTGGGAGCACCATGTAGTTACGGCGTGCGCGCTACGTAACTACACGGTGCTCCCAGCGATGTGCGCCAGAACCTTTGGTAACCATGGTAACCGCAGAAGGGCTGACAGTCTATATTTAATTATTTTTGTCTATGATTATACCTAGGCATTGAAATAGGCTTACATGTATACTGAGCATACGCTACTCCAAAGAGCAGTATCAAAATACTGCGTTCGTGATCTTTGTGTAAAATGTAAGCACGGGGGGTTTATTATTACGTTCACAAGGAACAAACATATTAAAACTACTTTTGCCATAGATAACAGGTAAAGAAAGATAACTCATCTTATCTCGCAGAGTTCCAAAACGCCGCACACGTTTTCACACTTCGTTCATCTGTCTCCATCTGATTAATGAGGTAATAATTAACCACGGGTAAACCTGAGGTCACCGACGTGAAAATATCCCGGGTATTTCCCACCTTTCCCTCCATTTAAAGGCAACCCATTAATTGCGAGGATTAAGGCAATTCGGCTAACACGTAATATTTACAACACCAAACAAACTTTGACCGGCGAGAATGAGAAATTTGGAAGAATTTGTCAAACTGGAGATTATACAGGAGTTGGAATTATAGATTGAGTTGGCTTTTTAAAATGTACGAAATTATAAACAAACACTAGCGCGTGTATTGGGCAAATGGAGAACTGATGAGGGCAAAGGAGGTAGATTTAAAGCAAGGGGAAATCAGCTGATTGTTTTCCCTCCATAGAGTTTAGGAAACAATTACTTTTTCGTCATACTGCATCAAAAACAGTTGGTTTTAATAAATGCGCTGCGGATCTAAAAGTAGCTTGTTTACTCCCTAGGGAGTAAAAAAGCCTTTTTAGTCCCTAGGGAGTAAATGTAAGCTGTTGTAAGTGAGCTCAGTAATTAACTTCGATTGTTAGCAATCGCATGTATCGAAAGAAAATATCGATGGAATTAATCGGTTGCAACTATTGTTGCATTCTTGTTCAATAGTTTGATATTATAACACATTTGTAATAGACGAAATGATTGAATTACCAAACAGCTGCTTGTTTGTATTAGAAAAAAATTGAAAACAAGTTAAGAGTCTTTTTTAGAGGTTATCTCTACATGAAAAGTATTTTCGTTTTGCAGCTTGGTTTGTTGAATAATGATGCAATATGATGAAAAATATAGTACATCATACGGGCAAAATGTTAAATATCAACCCTCGCTCATTTCCCCCCTCAGTAAAACTTGAACTCGTGTCGGAAAGAGTCACTTTACGCCCTAGTGATGAAATATATTATCTTTGCTACTGTTTGTACTAGTAATAAAAAAGAACACATTCCAAAAATAACAAAATTTCAAATTAAACACATTAATTTATAACACAATTATTTAAACTCTTCACGAGGTATAGAAGGCCCCATAGCTATTTCTGCTGTAACCATTATTGCTCTGAGGATTATGATGGGAACTGATCCCTAGTTTGACTGCAGAAGGGCTCCTCTTCTCCAGTAGTCCGCCGTACCGCAGGGGATGGGTGGGGTCGACACAACGAGGGAACTTGGAACTCCCGGGACTGGCGGAGAGTACGTCCACCGACCTGGAGGAGGACAGGTCCCAGGAGGAAGTGGCAGGCATACCCAGCTTGGAGACATTGTATGGAACCAGAGTCTGAAAAAAATATTGTTTAATGCAGGCAGTAGTAGTCTTTTGAATCAAGGATAAAAAAATAAATAAAATGTGTCTCAGTGTTACCTATAAGGCCTAGCGTTAGTTATACTTATAAACTTAGGTTCATAAGCTACAAATCAAATAACTCAAAGTATTTTAAACTGATCATGGAAATAGAAAGAAAATCTTTTGAATATCTATCTAATATATAAAATTCTCGTGTCACAGTGTTTGTCTGCAAACTCCTCCGGAACGACTTCACCGATCGTTATGAAATTTGGTGTGTAAATTCTGTAGGTATGCGAATAGGAAGTAAACTATTTCCCGTTTCGAAATTCTTAAAAGGGCTCCGCCCCAGTGGCTCTGGAGTTTCCCATGTTAACCTTATGGGAAATGGAATTAATGAATCTTAACAGCTGTTTCAATTAAACAAGTTGGTTCTGTTCTATGATGTTCAATGGCATTAAAGTTACAAGGATTACCAACAGGGTGCAGCACTATTATTTCTTTTACATTTATGACAACAGCTAATTTGCAACCAAAAGGTGAGTGAGCGTAGCGAACGAACTTCAACCTGGAGGCGAGTGAGCGTAGCGAACGAGCTAACCTAAAGGCAAGTGAGCGCAGCGAACGAGCTCCAACCTAAAGGTGAGTGAGCGTAGCGAACGAGCTCCAACCCAAAGGTGAGTGAGCGTAGCGAACGAACTTCAACCAGGACGTGATTGAGCGATGCGAACGAGATCATCTTGAAAATTAAACGTAACGGTACTTTCTTTCCATCGGTCTGTCTTAGGGGAAACCTATAACTTAGGCGATACGAAGTTCGCGGGGTCAGCTAGTAATAATATAATAACTGAACTACGTGTGGAATTCGAACATTTTAGTACAACATGGCTAACGCCTTCAATAATTATTCATACGGCTCTTGCATTTCTGGCTTGAAGTTGCCGCACAAAATCTACAGGCGTTCATAAAAGTAACGCAAACAATCACACTTAACTGTTTACTAAGATTTCACAACAAATTCACTAAGTGAGCACGTTCACATTAACAATGTAAACACTTACAACTAGTCCTTACCGGGTCGTGTCTTTTGTTCTTCATCAGCCGCCAGGTTGGCAGACCCACAGTCTCTGGCTGGCGGATGACATCCCCCTTGTCCGGGAACACCTCGGGCCCGTGGGTGTAGACGGCGCTCAGACCAAGGTCCAGGGAGTGCTGGGGACACAGGGGTCCTCGGAGACGATGGTTCCAGCGGACACTGGCTGAGAATAAACACAGGGTGTGAGGTAACACAGGTCAAAGAGTGGTTGAGTGGTGATTTATAAATCGTTCATTGTTGGCGATGGTCAAGATTAGAAATACTGTAAGGTTTCAAATTGTTGGGATTGTAAATAGTATCCCGTCCTAAAGTTCATAAAACAAGAGTACACAATCAAAGTGAAAGATGGAAATCAATAACAGAAAAAATACTTGTATAGTATAATAAGTCAATGATAGTATTCACACACAAAAATAAAAATCCTGAAAAGAAACAATAGTTTAGCTAACTATGGGAACACAATGCACACGACAGCATAAAATTGTGGCAGATGGTGTTTCGCTTGAAAACTTAGTTAATTCCTAAAATGATGGATTTATTAATATCGGTACTCATTTTAAGTACAGTATATTGCAGTAATATAATAATACAACAATCTGTGGATATTAAAAACATCAAAGCTAATATTTTTATTGCGCTATTCTATCTGTTTGCACTCAATCCTTTCAATAATTCTATATTTTTTTTACTTTTTACTTAGAATACAGTATAACTGGTAAAAACTATACCAACTTGATGAAACTAACATGATGAAACTATACCCACCAGATTAAAATTCACGCAACTATAAGATAATATTTAGATTAATCTATCGAAAAAGTAGTATAATGCTAAGTAATATAAGTAATATAAGTATAGGTAATATAAGTAGTATAGAGTTCATGAACACTATAGAGTTATGAAAGTTGTAGGATTCTAATGTTGCAGAATACACGACTTTAGGAACGCCTTCAAACTTCAAACAGCCTACGTTCGCATTCTACGGCCTGCAATTGCCCTGCAAACTCTGCAGGCGCTTACAAAACGTGCAACTATAGCAATCAGCTGTTTCTGTAATGAGGACTTTAAATGAATCAAATCGAACATTATCACTACGAAGATCAATACACTGTATTCTGTGTCTATGACAAATAAATATTCTTGATTCTGACTGTTTGTTCAAATAACATTCTACTGCCTCTTGGGAATATGATTCATACAAAAACAATATTCGTTATAGTTTTGAATATTCAATAATGAATTCATACGGATTCTGTGCTCAGCTCACCAAGGGTGTGATTCATATTGAGACGACAATGAGCACACACTGTGTTCTGCCAGCCAGGGTAGCATCCCTTCCATTCCATAGGCCTCCAGAGCCGCTCTTCATACTGGATAGGGGGAAGCGGGAGAGGGTTCCTCCGGGATAGAGCCATCCTGGAATTGGATCTAGATTTTTTTTGGGTTTACGAATAAAAACAATTTAATTTCGTAAGTAAGGTAGTATTTTTTCTCCTTATCTGTTACAGACGCTAATAGTTTTTCTTACCAACATTGTTTCAAAATATTCATGATTAAAAATAGCCTAAGATTTTTATTCTTAGTTAGGTTTAAAACTGTATTTTAACTAGGCCTACCGTATGAACTTAGAAGCGGGATTTCTCCGAAATAAAATTCAATTTTCCTCTTCTGAAAGGAATATGTTTTAGTCCCTAGCTTAGTGTGGATTTATAATTTTAGTTGAAGAAATATAAATGGCATTGGTTACCTACGGTTTTTGAATCAGTACTTTCAGGATATAAGTCTTGGACTCTTTTAAACATTAGCATTCAGTTAACAGGTTTGCGGCCTGCCTTATCTCCACTGTTGATGTTAAAAGATGTTTTAACCGAGAAACAATTTTAATATTTTCGTTTGGTCGTTCTGAAGGTTTACCTACTGGATTCTTATTATTTCAAATTTCAATTGTCTTTTTATCAAAGTAATTCGTAAAACTGATTTTGAAAATTGGCTAGATTACGCGATACTCTGAAATGGATGGAACTTGAAAGATACTTACATTTACAGTCTATCACACTTTTTGTTGATTTTTCTAGGTATATTAATAATTTAATGTTTGATGAATATTTTAAGTAAGTTATATTTTACCATGGTAACATTCCTTTCTGTCTTAAAGATTGTAGAAAGGTAAAAAAAAAACATGTAGCGTATTAAATATATAGATTATTTTTAATACAATGCTTTTTCAGGTTTTGATCTCAAAATTCGTCAAGGGCATTTCAAGGACGCTTCAAGGACATTTCTTCTGGCAGGTAGCGACACCATCGTTGATGTTACATTTGGTCAAAGCAGTCTTGGCTTCCTCAATTTCCTTCAGGACCTCTGGTTCGTCCCGCTTGGCCTTGGGACAGTAGATGGTCACGTGGGGGCCGAGGACTCCTGGGGAGGAAGATTATGTGTAAAGTTTTGTTGGTAGCCAAACAATCGGCTTCACTAGACAGGAAGGAAAACGGACGGGACATTGAAAGGAGAGGAAAATACGAGGACAAACTTTATTGACAAGCCTCTAGACGTGACATAGAAAGAAAATTGCAAGGAACAATAATTTATTTTGATAGGTTGGCGGTGCAGAAGAACAATCCCCGAAAGAACGCGCTTTGCATATACCCAGAAGTTTCTGGATCTAGTCCTATCTTGTCTAATGTAGCTTAAGCTTTAAACATTGGAAACTAATCATAAAATGTGTCTAAAACGACTACTTGTACATGCATGATGGCACTACGTACTATATTTTGTGTTCATACACTTTACTAAAAATATCTTAAGTTTCCTCAACCTACTATTAGACATTCTAATCTTTTGAAATAATAATCCACATTTAAGTTACTGTACCATATATTTTCTACTTAGCTTCAATTGTTATTATCTAGATGAACGATTTTATATTGATTAAAATGATCAATAGCTAATGAGAAATTAATTAGTCAGTAAAACACCCAATTAAAAATCAAACATGACCATATTGATGACATTTATTCTGAATCATTGTATGATTTCGTAAGATTAGCTTAATCAATCCAAACCATTATTTAAAATTGTAATACCTTGACTCATGTGTAACACGATATACATACTTGAATTACACAATTGCTTCATAATTCATTACTTACCGTTAGCGCTACACACGTAGAGCGCAAGACAATATTTCTTGAAGTAAATTGCGTAAGCATTCATGTTTACTCCTTTGTCTAAAACATGTGAAAGGAAAAATATCACACTAAATAAATACATTTGTTCCTTATCCTTCACTATAATTGGAAAGAAAATGCACAGTGTAACATTCAACGAGAATATCATGTTTTTTATCAATTAAGAAGGGGACGCCACCTAGGTGCGTATTTTAACCAATTAAATATGAGTGAAGGATAATTGTGGAATTAAGCTTTGTTACTGACTAAGATCAGCTGTTTCATAAGCCAGGACCTTTAATTCAAAGCCTAATTTACAGTTGAGTCTAAGGCTCCATCAACAGATTGCACGGAAACATCCAAATTTAGGTTGAAGACTCCCTTGTTCTGAGCCTTTAATAGGCAAACAAATAATATTTACTGTAATAATCTTAACCAACTACATCAGTATGATAACAAATTAGTGCATTTGGATTTTATATTCTACAGTTCAAAACTCAGGACCTACTTACAATCCTTGATCAAAAACTCCTTTGTTGTAGAATTTAATTCGGTTTTAAAAATAACTTCGTCCACCTTTCTGAAACAAACACAAAGTCATGATTCAATTGTAAATCACAAAATACATTCTTTATATAGGTTATTGAGAACACGGGTGTTTTATACAAACATAAGCATTAAGGTGAATAGAGGGATTTTTCTGGTTGGAATTTCACTAAAATATTTCTTGAAACTTGTCAGGATTGTTCCCGATTTAAATATTATTATTAGATTTAACGAGTATTTAGATCTGCTGTTAAATGTACAAAAAAGTATGTTTTTTTCTTTTGGTAAAGTATTAATAGTATGGAATGAAATAATAAATTTGACAAATTTGATGAAAACATATCCATAAGAAAAAAAATTACAACATTTAACTTCTCCTCAATAAGAATTTAATGGGAATTTCCAATTTACAATTCTTTAGGATTTCCCTCCGTAAACCTTAAATATACAAAGGATTGCAGGAATGCTTCAATATACAAAGTTATTTAGCTTTTGTGTCCTACACGAATTATTTAGTATCCTAACATTGGGCATTTTTGTTTTTAATATTAAAAACTTGAAGTGAACAATTTAAAATTTCCAAACTTCCATAATACTCCTATAATACTTACTTGCATTGGTTGGTATATGTGTCTTTGTTCCCAAAGAGGCCGAATGAAGTTGAGATACAATCAAATTTGTCAACTTTGTACCCAGAGTACCAGCGGATTTCATAAAAATGGTTAAACAGCTTAAATAAAACAAGAGTCACTATTAGAACTAATATACTCACAAAAATAATAAATAAAAATATAGCACAATAAATATTGATCAAACAACAGAAAATAACTCTGCATAAACAATTTAAATTTACATTAGCAAAATATTTGCTATTTTGATAATAATAAATATCTTGAAGAGATAACACTCTAAATTATTTTTTTTCATCCCAACTGTGCAAAAATATAGTTCAGTCTATTCAAATATATAAAAATCTCACAAAAGAAAATATATTTAATTACATTATGCTTAGGGTTTACTTTATACGGTAGCGTAATTTTCTGATTTAAATTGGGCTTTTGAGCACTCAGAGAGTGGTTGAAATAAATCCAATTTCTGGATCCAAGTTTTCTATTGGTTTTTTAACAATGTTCAGTCTTACTAAAATACCTAAATGCATCAACAAGGATTAAAAAATATCGGTCTGTTCCGATAAAATTTGTAACATTACATTATTATAATACTATAGAGAAAATAATAAACTGTAAATTCTTATGAAATAAAATATTTTATATAAATCTTATAAAAAATAAATAACATATAAAATGCTTTATATATTTTTACCATTCCATTAAATACTTAACACATAAAACTTACAATTTGTAGACCACTCCATGCTTTAACAGGGTAATTTCCACCATTGATATCTTTAATGCATTGTATCACTTTAGGATCACAGGGTTTTGCTGGTGTAGATTCAGAAAGAACTACACTTAGACATAGGCAAGTGAATGTGAAACAAAATAACGTGAACTTCACCATCGTCCTAGAAAGGATTAACATAATCATAATTATAAACGTCAAAAAAATTAATTAGAGTTAAAAATGAGGGTTAAAAATATATTAATTATATAAATTGAAAATTAAATCAAATGTTGTAACGTTGAATAAGTGTTTTTGCTGTTTTACTCTATAAATTAATGGATATAATTTATTAACGCAAGCCGACCCAGGAAATATTTATTCAAGGTTCACAGTGCAATAGTATAGTAAAGTTTCTCTATTCTATAAAAAAATAAATAAATATGTGTTTGGAGAGAAAGTAAACCTTTTTCAAATAAAAATACGATAAACAAAGACATAAAAACAATTGATCATTAAAATAATAACTACTATTTTTAAAAGATACAATTTTATTAGAGTATGGTTCAAGAATATTGTTCATAGACATGTAAAAATCTTACCTCATATGGTTGATTTGTAAAAGATACTTTCACAAGGTTCAGTTTCTAAATTACCGTTGTCTAGTGAGTTTTGACAATTGGTAATTTCTGTTTAAGTAGCTGTTTCAGCTGATATGTGTAATCAGCTGTGAAATGACGTGCCAAACATCTTGTCATTATCTTAAGGCAAAAAGCCAACTTAACTTCTTTACGTGATACACATGTTCACGAAAAACCTATGTATTTCAAATAAGTATGCTATTTGGTAAAAACTTAGTCAACCTACTTTACCTTAGAAAAGAAGCCGAACTAATTGTAAAACTATTTTTTGACACAGTGGAAAATAATAAGCTATTTGATACATTGCTTAAGTGTTTTACCAATAGTAATTGAGTTTATTATATTTAGTTTAAAATAAATTATCCCTCCTTGTTCATGCTTATGGCATCATTTAAAAAAGCACGAAAACATCATCATGAGGTATTGGGATATTTTTAGAGATTTGTTAAACCACCATGTAAATGTTGGAAAATACTACATGTATCAATTTTATGTTTTTATGTGTCCTTTAAGATCAAAATTTTTTATACTTTTTTAAGTCCCACTTTAACGTCCTATGACGCTAGGCTCTTACGTTTGTTTTTTTCACATAACTACACAGAGGTGGCATTATCACTTAGATAAAACCCATTGGGGATTTCTGGCATTTGGACCCTAGACCTCAGGGACCAAAGTCCCACCATCTACCATTAGACCAGCTCAATCCTCAAAATATGTAGACTGAATGTTATCAGTAAAAATATAAGCGTATATAAATAGTATAATAGATCACCACTGTTAATAATTGGTTAAATAAAGTTTAGTATGTTAATCCTCCAACTAAAATTTCTTCAAAATTATTTCCTAGAATGTTAATTCTATGCAGTAGGCCTAAATAATGGAAATGTTCAAATTAACAATACTTATAAAACCTAAAAGTTCAAGTGCCGTAAACAGGCACGAAAGATTATATCTATGATTAAACTTAACTAAATAACTTAACTAATAAACTTAATAAACTGAACTTAAATTTAACTTGAAACTGTTCAAAACATGGAAGATTCACATGAACTTTATTATTATTATTCGTTTTCATGGTTTTTAATTTCTTCAAATTATTGAAAAATCAAAATAATCCCCTAATGAAAACGCATAAATAATTGTAGCCAAGGCTATTTACATTAAATATTCGTTCTTAATTTTACGAGTGTCTTTACCATTTTTAAATCTCATAATAAGTATTAATAAATCAAAATTTTCAACGAGCACTGGCTTTCTTTACAATAGCAAACCTGTATAATAAAGCTGTATATTTAGTTACATACGGATCAGCAAACTCAGCAAGTAGTAAGATACAGTATGAGGAATTCATGTCACCATATCAAGAGTTATTTATCATATATGATTAGAATTGAGGAACATTTCAAGCATGTTTAGAGGCCTATAAAACAGCGACGACAGGGGGTCAGAGAACGACTCATAAAGCACTACATGTGCTTGGCCTTCACGATTATTATTCATATTTACTTAATATTAGACTATTATTCTTCTTAGTGAGTAGGAATGAAATTTACTGATGATTCCTTTAATTCCATGAAATGTTTGCAAACTTTTGTAAAGTATGAACTTCAATGGGGATTGGTTGTTTATGTGTTATTGGGGATGTGTTTATGTTTTGAACACAAGGTTACATACGTACCCACAGTATGTTTCTAGAGTATAGTTCTGACCTCATGGGCTACGTTTATAGGTTTTTATTATTAATGAATTTACTTAAATTCACCAACTAAGTTTGTGAACGAATTTTTCGGTGACATCAAGGGTTTTACTTTTGCTTCTCAACAATACAAATGAGTTAGACCGTTTAAGACTCACCAAAGATAATATTTGCTTTTATTAAGAGAAAATTTAACAAATAACGAAATAATGTTGGAAGTTCGCTCTTGGTTCAAATAGGTTCTACAGTACAAAAATTAAATAGTATCTCAAAAGAAGAAAAAACTTATGAAGACTAAAAAAAAATTAAAAAATAATATTACATGCTTTAAGACATTAACGAGTAGGCCTACCATTGGCCATTAATAGTAATGCAAGTGCACAAATTCAATTACGAATAAACAACCGAAATCTGCCAGAAAATAAAAAATACCCTAAATATTCCCAGAAGAAACATAATTTACAAATATAAAATACCCATCAAATACAGCATCTAAAACTTTCGAAACAACTCAAAACTTCGAAAGTAGAAATTTTCTAACGAACGGGAAAAAAGCGAACGAAGGAATTTATGGTGTTGCTGAAAGAAGAGAACGAGAGATCTAATTGGGTACAACTTGGATCAGCTGGGCAAAGAAAAGGCGGGAATATGCGATGCAGACGGTAGTTTTGAAACATACAGCTGCTAAATGCCGCGTTCTATGAAGATGACCACTATTAGTGCGTTGTTGTAGGGTCATTACTGGGCACGGTACAGCACCGCCTGCCTTCTGCTGACGAGTTCTGGATGCTTCATTTTTACTGACTTGTTCAACACCCTATTGTCATTTTGCAATGCACAAACCATTGCGAAAAACTAGTTTTATATTTAGAGTAATCATTTTAAAATGAGATTTAGATAAAGAAAATATACGGTAGGAAACATTTTAACGCTATGATGAGAGAAGTGTAAGCGGAGATGAGATCTTGATTTTTCACTAAAACCTAATTGCCGTGTTTAGCTATGCTATTAAAACCCCCAAAATTAAGGACATCTAACCATCAAAATATCCGACTTGGTATTAACATCCCGGCAACATATTCAATCAAGCCTAACAACACTTTTGTACGCTTGAAAGCACAACAAAGATTTCCATTTGAAACGTTTTCATCTCTGAATAAACCACGGATTGAAATCTGAAATTTTTATTTATGGCACCCCTGGTTACAAAAATATACAGTTACATTTAAATTGAATCTCTTCCTTAGTTCTGCATGATGTAGTAACACACGTAAAGACCAATATTATTACGGTAATGGTACTTGAAGGTTCAAATTAACCTGAAAGTTGTCATCAGATTTTACTAGGCTATAAGACTTCCACCGCAGCTTTCAGTATATGATATGCCATGTAAATATTGTTTATAGTTATTGCTTCTTATGAAGTGTGACTGTGTTGTATGGACGACCAGGTATCAGGTTTCAGACATAGATATCCTGCATGTTATGAGATTTTCGGTCGGATCAAAAATAACCTTTGTGACTTTATTTTGGTTAAATTAAAAATATTAAAGGTTTACATATTTTTAGGACCTACACAGGTCCACGACGTAGGAAGTGGTGAAGGAAATAGTAAAGGCGAGCAGTGTGGAGTGTGGGAATGGATAAATGTATCTGCAATACTAAGACTGTTCTCAGAGTAAACTAATTATTTTCCCCGAGCAAAGCTCGGTCCCCAGGTACTATATTTAAACCCAAATAAAATTATTGTTCACAATCACTGAAGTGGTAACAAAATTATTATTTTAGTTTAATATGCTACTGAAAATCGATGTAAAATACTAAATATAATACCAAAGCTACCATAGATTTTATTTTCGAATCGGACTAAGCTGTGCAGTAATTGACAAGACATGTAACCTCGTAAAAATGACTCAAGCTTGGATAATAGTAATTACTTTAGTAATCAAATACATCCTCAATTGCGCCAAAGGAAGTTTTGACATCGGGTCCATTGTTTGGTAATACGACCAATCCAAACTCTCTCCGGCGGCTTTCTTTAGGTCATCGGTAATTAATTCTCGCTAAGTTTTTTGTCGGGACTTTGCAGAAGTAAATTTCACTACTGCAGGAAGAATTGCAATACCAACGATACGGCGTTTTTGTGCATCAAAGACATTTTGGAAAGTCACGTTGGAGTGGTCGTTTTCTCAAACCATGGTTTTGAAAATTTTTTCAATAACACAGTTTCTTTGTCTGTGTTATTAAATGTGTTATTTTGATAAAATTGTTCAAAAATCTTCCCTGGAATCACAGCAGGTTTTGAAAGTGATTTTGTTAAAACTTTTCCATCCATTACTTCATATTCTTCATAGATTGTTAAGAAATAAACCACCTTGAACTACTTTTTAACCATCTTACACAAAGATGGAATAAAATAGTTTATTCTTTGACTACACATTAAGTCAACCATATTATTATGTCTTGGTAAGTAACGAATTGTTACAATTCATCTATCACAAGTTTGTAAGCATTCAATAGAGTATTACTATAAGTTTTGCAACCAAGGATTTTTTTCGGTACAAACTTGATACTGTCCTCTTTTCCTTTTCGATGGTGTTAAAGGAATGAGAGAATAAAATGGTATATCTAGCATTTTAAATGTATACTGATGTTGAAGAAACTATCAAGAATTTTGGGATGCCGTTGCCAACTAATTCAAAATAAAAAAGTGAAATTCTTCTGTCATGTTTCTTGGTTAGCATAAAAGACTTTGGTAAACTGAGTTTCCATGACCACGATCCCACTTGAATAAAGATTTAAAACGAATTTCCCTACGGGTTTCAGGTTTCCCTTTCACTTTAATACTCGACCAGACAATTTTTAACACAATCATGAGACTTCTATCTAAGAAAAGTTTATTCTAGAACGTAACTCTTAAATCCACGACTGTGGCGGGTTGTCTTCAGAAGTTTATGCCAGGAGGATATCTGGATACAAGCCACCAGCAATTAGCATTGTACGCCCGGGGTGGCTTACACAAACACAAACACATACACATACACATACACACACACAGACACAGACAGTTATTTATGCACTGTGCTGCCACCTGTAGGCCGTCTACGCTACTGGTTTTCATTTCAATTCAACAGCCCAAGTATGTATTGTGTAGGTGTTTCTAACATGGAGAGAAGGAATTGTGAATGTTCACTGGGATACTGTTATTCTATTCAAAGTAGGGATTGGATTTGGATTTTCATGTGTATTGAAGTTTTTGACTTTGACTCAGCTGTGTTATTAGTAGTTTGTTAACGATGTTTTACAGTGTTGTTTAAATGTATTTTG